GTGAGCGTAAAGTCTGGGGTCTAATTAAGAACTATATTGTTGGCTTACACATTTTGCTGCACATATATTGATGCAGAATTTACGATGTTTGAAATTACAAGAAATACCATGATCATACTAGGAATCTCACCGCTTCGTCATCTGGTATAGTTTCTCATCCAATGGTTGAGAAGGAACGCCGGACCACATTACAATACCAATGCGTACCAAAAGGATATGTTGAATTCACACGAAAAAAATGTTTTTGAAGAGTGGTTTCTGCCACGATGCGAAGAAACGAAGATCATTGAGCTATACGCTGTCGACTATGTTATGAAACTAGCTTTGAAGGATGTGTGGTGGTGGTGGTAAAGGTCTTCTGCCAACAGAAAGACTTTTCGACCTTAAATATAAATATGATTCTGCCTTACTGAGGACTGACATATAGGCTGTCCAAATCCCATTTGGTCGGTGGGTGAACAGTGTATGTATTATATGCGCTTTTTATCGTCAAAGTACTAAGTGACATGTAGAAACAAGTGTAATGTACCAGTCGAGGATTTTGCGTATCCAGTTAGTTGTAAGTGTTGGAGTACGTGTAACGGATAAAATTTCTAATCGTATAGTGGAAGGTGTACGCCAACGTCAGTATGTTCACTGGAATTAAAGTGAAGCCTTGTTCTACGCCTCTGGAAGTTGGTCTCCCTGGACTAGGAATTTCGACTCTGTACGTAGGGGCCTTTTATTAAATAAGCTTTCGTTGACGCACACAGGATCCTGGGCTTAGAGTTGGTTGCATTCTTATTTTTCTGATAGAATGAAGTATACTGCATATAATGGCAAATCTTCTTCTGCTTTGCTTACAAAAGCCGGTGTTCCTCAGGGTGCAGTCCTCTCTCCTTTTCTCTTTTCTTTCTTCCTACACGACCTGCCTCATTTAAACGAAACTAATTTTGTCAAGTATGCTGACGATCTGACTGTATCACTCACTGCCTATCACTTCCGAGTCTGACTGCTCCAAACTTAATAGCTTTCTGCTGGACATCAGCAAATGGTCTAAGTCAAATGATCTTATGTTAAATCCTTCCAAATGTCAGGCAGTTAACTTTACTTTCAAGGATCGACGTGACATACATGAACTAGTTAGTTCCCATGATGCCTGTAGCATAGATGGCACTGAAATTGAAACCAAGTCAAGCATTAAATACCTTGGATTAGTTCTTTCCTCTGACCTTTCATGGTTATCCCACATCTTATTAATCTCTAAGAAAATGTTTCGTCTTACCTTCTACATTAAAAAGTTAAGACAATCAGGTATCAACCAACCATTAGTTCTGCAATTTTTAAACTCCTGCATTTCACCTATTGTACTCTATTGCTCTCCTTTAATCTTTCCTGGGCTTCTTAAAAAGACTATGTCATATTACGAAGGGTATTAAATGCTGTGAGTAGGTCTTGTGGTTTGCCACTGCGTGAGCTCGCCAATACTAAAGTCGAGAGACACATAAATTCCTGTACAAAGTGGGCAAAGGCCGCACTATCAGACCCTCTGTACCCCCTTTGTTAACAACTATCCCCTTGTATCTCATCAGGTAGGACGAGAAGTCAATATAAGAAGTTACATGCTCGAACCACTGAGTACAAAAATTCTGCAATACCGTATTTTATGTGATGAAGACTCTGTTAGACGTGAAACATATAAGTTAATATGTAATTAGCAAAGTGAATCGACCCTTTCATTGTTCATCTTTCTGTAATCTTATGGTTTCACTCTTTCTATCGTTTAATTATAACTGCTATTTTTATTTTAGTTGTTATAACTATAATTTTACACTTTATGCATATTTTTCTCCGTATTGCTTACAGTAATTTGCTACATAGCTGGTATAAAAACGTTTTGTTATCATTATTATGTAATGATTATTTCGTTTATTTATTTTTTGTTGTTGTCGTTTTTGAGTAAATTAGATGCAATATTGTACTGAATGCTGAGAATTCCTTGCTGTATCATTAGTACTGCTTTTAGAATAAAGCAAATAATAATTATTATTTGCAGTAAGCAAATAAACTTTAATAACTGATTTCTATATCCGTAGGACTGCTTGCATCCTCTGGCGTTACAGTATGTAATTCGAGATTCAACGGCGTCCATCTAGACAAGATGGGGAACGTGTTACCACATATCGCTGGGATATATGTAACGGCACAAGAGAAGGGAAATTATGTACATCTTACATGAAAGTCGTTATTTGCACAGAGCCTCCGTGTTGTGCTTCTTTTCGTATCTACCGTGTTTTATCGCAATATACTGGTTCATTTGCTCTCTTTGACGTCAAATATCTCTCTCCCATATTTGATATTTTTGTGTTGATGAACGTCTGTTTATGCATTACTACTATATATATATATACTTCGAATATCATCTTGGCGCCTACCAAACTATTAACGTTACACCAGCCCTATAACTACTTGGGAAAAACAGGGGAATCCAAACACCGACATGGTGCATCACGTCTTCGTAAGTGCGGTCTCAGAAGTCACACGACTAGAAAAATGACCAGATACGGCTCCAAATCGAAATATTTCCTCTCTTCCAATATTGTTTCACATTTGTGTTAAGTGAAATAAAATCCTCCCTAATTGTTCATCTGTTACTATTGGAACTACTAAATCATCAAGTTTTACCTCTTATTTGTCACTGTTTCACGGACCATAGGTCTTTCAAAAATTAACTGCATTAAATTGCTTGCTTCAATTGATGTTTTACTACTTTCATATACATTTTGAAAATAACAAATATTTATTAACTACGATATCACAGGAGGTCAATCAACAACTTAGTGGAAACATCTCTGACTGCAGTAATGGGTAATGTCGTTTCAACTCTGAAAGTGGATATCAGTCCCTTCAGGACTGCAGGTGTGGTGAGAGCTGTCTACTAGCCAATTGGTTGACAGTAATTGAGGTCAAGGTCAAGATGGACAGGCGGATACAGTTAACATATAGATGAACTGACACAGCCACAAGAGATGCAAGGTTAACTTTGTGTGAGAAACACCCAACCAGCAGACTGTATTTTCTACTAACATTGACCTACAATAATGTACATCAAAATCTATAAATACGTGTTGATTTTCCTTAATAAACGATCCGTTGCCTGGCCCTTGTCTTCTGTTGTTACACAGGTATCCATTGCTGATGAGATCGCCCGTATACATAAAACCTAGGTCAGACAATCCTGGTTCAAACCAATTTCTGTCATTTTGTTACTCCACTTATCGCTCAAATCTCTTGTTTCTCAAATACCCCAGAACCCTTTAATAGAACTAGTATGAGTCCCATCTAATGGATCAACAAAATCAGCAAAATGATTTACAGCGTCATGAATACAGCTGAATGACGATAACCATTTCATTCAGCCATGTAGATAGTTGTTCCGGGTATCACAAAACGCTGGATAATTGGCATTGAAAACACCTGCACCACTGTCAGAAATTCTCTCCTCAATAAATCCTTTTCTGCATTGTTTTCCACAGCTGTATTTCCTCCGTATAAGAACTGTTTCATCGACAAGAACAATAAAACCACTAATTTTCTAAGACTTGATATCATCTTAGCAGAACTGATACCACAGTATTATTGGTTTCAGCAACATTTGTAGTTCTTCTTCGTTCCAGAGCTCAAATGTGACAAATAGTCATAAATAAACTACCCGAAAAATCCCTTCAGCAAAGACGAAATCAACTAAATGAATGACATCATTTCCCGTACGTACCTTCCTGAGAAGCAAGATGATGTGAGTAAAGGAGAATGATGCTCAGGAAGGCTTCGTGTGCTATCGGAAGTGTGTGGGCGGTTGTTACTTCCCGGCTGCCCACACAGTGGAAGTTGATTGATTCTTCGGGTATCTGAAACAGAAAGAGGGTTAGTGTTGCGTGACCACAGAGCCCAGAGGACAACTGCTTGAGGCCGACCGGTCACACGCGGCCTGTATGAATTGGTTCCGTATTAGTAAACTTACCGCCGGTTACGGACCACCGTAGGGTAAGTCGGGATGTACAATTTTTGGCGTCGACCTTTTCTAACCCTCTCTCTCCAGAGTGGAGAGACAGCATAGCTGGAATGCTGGTCATCTGAGGGAAACACCTCACTGTTGTTACACTCCTGTTCCCCAGCATAGTGTAAGAAAGATTCATACACAATGCCGGTAACTGCATTTAATCTAATCGCTATCCTAACAACCTTTCTGGCATTGTAGGACCTGCAGGAACATGGATTCCAGCCAGTGCAACTTATTGGGTTATCGCGATGAGCAAGCCCGACCATCACGTGAAGGTAGCAGCTATCGGTCGGGACGGTAAAAACCAATGGTTGGAAACAATTGGTGATATGGCTCAAAATCCTCGTTCTCAATGGCTGATGCAGATGCATCCACTCCTTGTGACTTATGATTTCCAATGAATTTTGTATTGTTCTTCGTTATTACTATTCCTTTGTCTCACACCTCTGTTTACTGTCTATATTATGCATTTCTTCTACTTTCTTCTCTTGCTTTGTGTGCTACATGGAGTGTGGCGACTTGAACTGCCGCACATCGGTGCAAAGTTCTGTGCCGAAAACAGACAGACATACCTTCCTACAACGACAGCTACGACGTTTGTGTATGCGTATCTTTTAATGGCACCTGCGCATATCTCTGCAAAGCCATTATCTCCCAGTCGACAATGGTACAGTTTAGTCCTTCCTGTAAACCTATTATATCATGACAGTCCTGAAATACAAAACCAGGAGGAAATTTGTTGACGGCGCAATTTATGCACCTTTTAACCATTTCAGCTCATTTGATTGGTTGTTCCCTTGGGTCACTATACTTCAGATTTATCTGGTGATTGAAGTGAATGAATTTATCACGACCTCTACAGCTGACCACTCTCCATTCTTACTGTGTTTATCACTGAAAAAGAGGCGAATGTTTTTCTTTCTCCAGAAGTGAAAAATCAAGCAACGATATCAAACAAAGTAAACACGATAAGTATTTGTTTTTTATTGTACACACACACACACAAACGCCTATAAAAGCTCATATGCATACACACACACGCAGGCACGCGTGCACGCACGCACATAAAAGTGCCATGACGACTGTCAATTATTAAAATGAACAAAATATTAAAAACTAATATGAACACACAAGAAGGAAAAAAAGAAAAGAAAATGAACACGGGATAGAGAAGATAATGACAATAATGACAGTGGCAAAATTGTCATCACGTGTTTCAATCACTTTTTCACATTTGTAGCAGCAGCAGCAGAGCCAGAAGCAGCGGCGGTTTGTTTCGCCATAACTTGTGCTCGAAGTACTGAATTACCAGCTAAGAATGTCGGTACACCTAATATACTCAGATAACCCAGAGTTGTAAACATATCCAATCGACACCAATAGACAAAGTAGAGGTAGCAAATAGCTGTAAAATTAAAAAAAAATAAAAATAAAAATAGAATTTAAAAATCTATTGATAAGAAAAATATATTAGGGGTGAGGGTGAATTTTACAAGGCTTAATGATGACGGCATATCTAATATTTATGGTAGCTAAAATGTGCATAAACCAGTTCACCTGCTCGTGCGGAGCTAGGTGCATAGGTCGTTGTATGCGCGTCCTTTCGAAACGTCTTAGAGAACATTACCCAGCGTGGCTGCAAACAGGAGGGAACGGTTCAATCAAAAGTGCCATTAGTGAACATCTGATCAATACCTCCCACAACATCTCAACTGATTCTTTCAAAGTAATTTACAAAGTCAACAGAAGCAGTATTTTTCCGACTTCTCTGTACTGCAGAAGCCCTCGCAATATGCATCGAGAAGCCGGAGCTGTGTGTGAAGTGAAGTGGTAGAGCACGTTGACCGCTTCATTTACTTGCGAAGTACCATCAGCCGGTGCCAACGGGTTGATCTCCTACGAAATCTCAGCACGGATACAGAGGGCTAGTTTCGCATATGCCAGTTTACGCCGTCTCTGGCGTAGACGCGATATCCGACTATCGACCAAAGGGCGTGTGTACTGCTCAACAGTCCGCTCCGTCCTCCTTTATGGCTGTGAAACCTGGCCATTGACAGTGGAAGACAAGAAAAGATTAGCTGTGTTCGATCATAGGTGTCTGCGTTCTATCTCCCGCGTGAAGTGGTATAATAAGGTGAGCAATATTGAGGTTAGGCATCCGTCGAGTGCTAGGTAAGGAGGGGAAATCAGCCGACGAAACTGTGAAATTACATCGACTGAGATGGTTAGGACATGTGTTACGTATGCCTAGTCATCGCCTTCCTCGACAATGGGCAATGTTAGCTGATATAGGGCCAGGCTGAAAAAGAGCTAACGGCGGTCAAACCAAAACATGGCGCCAGTCAATGAAATCTACAGCAGTTAGTTTGAGCCAGCCACGTAGGAAGATGTAGACTTCCTGGTTGGGGTCCTCGGGACGGTAAAAACCAATGGTTGGAAACAATTGGTGATATGGCTCAAAATCGTTCTCAGTGGCGCAGATGCATCCACTTCTTGTGACTTATGATTTCCAATGAAACTGTTTTGTTCTTCGTTATTACTATTCCTTTGTCTCACACCTCTGTTTACTGACTATATCATGCATTTCTTTTACTTTCTTCTCTTGTTTTGAGTGCTACATGTAGACATGGAGTGTGGCGACTTGAACTGCCGCACATATGTGCAAAGTTCTATGTCGAAAACCGACCGACCGACCGGAGCTGTGTGTTCAGAAGAAATTAATCCAACCTCTACAACTACCATGGACCTAGTTCGGTATGTTCCTCTAGTTTCCTTTTTTTGATCTTTTTTCGTTCGCTATGGGTGTGATTCTTAACTCCCTCTGTCTTCATTCGCTTCACCCAATTTTTCCAGTCATAGAAACAGTTATTTTAAGTTTGTTTCCATGCCTTTCCTGTTCACATTTATAATTCGTTTAAAATAACTATTTTACACTTATATCTTAATCTCGTGTAATTTTGTTTCTAAGGCTTTCGTAACCTATATTCACACCTCCTAACTTCTATTTCAAGTTAAAATTATTATTTCAATTTTGTTTCCATGCTCATTTTTTACACACTTGTTACCCGTTCTAATCCATTGTTAATTTTGTTTCTAAGCCTCTCGTAAAAACCAAATCTAGTTGAAAATAATTGTCACCTTTTATTCGCCGTCGTAATTATGTATCCATGTAAAACTATGTACTTAAATGCGATTGTACAGCTGCTTTTGAAAATGAAATCGCCGAAAAGACAGATATCTTTGCTGAACTTCGTGTTCTCTTCTTTCTAATGTCCTTATGGGTGTTTTCCACAATCTGAAAGTGAACATTGTGTATTAGGCATATTTGGTCTGTTGCTTATTGGATTCCTCATGGGGTGTTGTCATCACCTTCTTCGCGTGGCTTCGTCAGTGGCTTTCCTCCAGTGACAGCAGACACATTCGCTTTCGTCGACGGGCAGTGGTTAGCTGACTAATATAGGATGGATCAGGTTGTTGGAAAAGAGCTAGTGGTTGGTGGTCAAATCAAAACATGGAGGCATCAGTCAGTCAAATCCATAACAGTCAGTTTAAGCAAGCCATGTTGGGAGGTGTAGACTTCCTGGTAGGCTGGTTGGAGTCCTCGAGATGGTAAGAACCAATGAAGGCTGGAGACGATTGGTGGTGATATGGCTCAAAATCCTCGTTCTCAATGACTGGTGCAGATACATTCATTCTTTGCGATATATCATATTCAATAAATCTCTATTGTTCTTCCGTATTACTACTATTCTTTTCACCCTTACTGTCTCTTCGCTTACTTTGTGTGCTACATGGAGGGAGTGTGGCAACTCGAACCACTGGAATATGTGCAAAGTTCTATGTTGAAACCAGTCAGTCAGTCACAATCATCATTGATTCTGAGAGGACGTTACTGGATATATTACTTACATCTATTAGTAAGTAGTACATACCAAGTAATGTAGCTTAGAAGACACTGTTAGATCTAGTTAACAAAAGATATGATCTACTGATGATACACCGGAGATTGCAACTTCCTTGTATTGTGTAAATTATTCATCGAGAAAATATGCGTCATTTATTTTGTGAGATATGGCCCACTGTCGTCATAACCACTAACTTAGCTTCCAGTCAGTGGGTGTCTTGGCTTTCAATCACACTCCATATAGCATGGAAAATGACAGAACTGTCCCGGAAGTTGAGTTCAAAGGAAACAGTTCACTTGGTTTTGAAACTTGACTTTTTATCGCGAAAAATTGGACTCAAGATGATTAAACGTTGAGCTATAAAACCTTTATGATATTGGTTTTAGCATCTAAAATCTAGTTTATTTCAATACACAGGAGTACCATCACCCAAGAGACGTAGAACTCTAGGGTGACATCAAACGCCAAAAGCCTAGAGAGAACATTATGAATGTTTACATGATTAATTAATCTTACAATTTAATTGATATGAAGAAAGCTGAATACACACTTACATATTAAACCAGCATGGAAAACAATATTTGATAGTGAAATTTTGAAGTTGGACACATTGAAGCCGATAACCATCCACTGAATAAGAAAAGAGAAAAGGTAATATAAAAAGAAAAAGACGCCATTTATTATCACTATTATTATTATTCGAAGAGACACGAATAAAAAGCAAGAAAACTAACTGGATCGCCTTAACACAGTGTACTCAAGATGTGATGTGACTAACTCATCAGGGTTTAAGCGTTCGACTTTCAACCAGTGGGTCGGTCGGTGTCAGTGGTTCGAACACCTAGCCAGAAGAACTGATGTTCAAACAGCCAGGCGGTACTACTGTGGTGAGAGTTGGTTGCTAGCCAAAGTTGGTAGACAATAATTGACGTCAATGTTTATGTCCCCAATATTGGTCGTGAGAAAATGGGAACAAAGGCTTTGTGTAGGCGGGCGGATGCAGTTAGCATATGGATGATCTGACACAGCCACAAAGAGATGCAAGGTTAACTTTCTGTGAGAAACAACCAATCAAAAGACTGCATTTTCTACTAACAATAATCTATAATAATGTACATGAAAATCTATAAATATGTGTTGATTTCCTTAATAAACGATCTGTTGCCTGACCCTTGTCTTCTGTTGTTACACTACTACTACTAGTCCTCACACAATAGGCGGATTATTCTCAACTGCATGTTGTATCGCTTGGCTCAATCAAGTTTTTAGCAACAATGCATCCCAGGGCTAACTGGGTAGTAAGTAACACCAGCCTTTGTACAATAAGTAGGTGGCTCACAAATTGACAGCTAACTAACTAACTAACTAACTAATTGATTAATTTGTACTCAAGAATTTTTCATACAACAAAACTGAATCTAGGCTATACCATATCGGTAAAAAAAATATTAACACTGAATGTTTCTTCTTAATTGTGTAAAGAGATATGTTAGAAAATTGATATGAATCGTGACATCACACGTCATTTCCAGGCCCTCAACAAGTAGAACCGAAGTGGGAAGCCACAAGTTGGGCGGGCATCCGAATACGATATGGAGAAGATTATATGATGATGAGGTGATGAAAGCTTGTGGGCTAGTTGTGAAGGCAGAGAACCGAGTGCAATGAAGATGTCCCGCGATACAGAGAATAAATAATAATAATAATAATAATAATAATAATAATAGGTGAGGTATATTTGTATTTCTCTTACAAACGGTTAGAATAGCATATGCAGAATAAATTATTTACCCACTAGGATATGGACGAACCTATAACAATCAACCACGGTGAATTGTTTTTTTTACCTGGTGTATGAACCAACAACGAACTTTGTAAGTAACAGAGTTAATAGAAGTTTTGAGTACACATTGGTGGCAATCGTACTAAGATGTTTTTAACAAACAATAAAGTTCGTAATAGTGATATTGATATGAAACATGAAGAGGATTACTGTGTGTGTGTGTATTTGAGAGAGAGAAAGAGTGGTGAATTTCGACTCTTACAGAATAATTGTCCAAAGAACAAGAGGTTGAAACTATATACGTTATATCGACTCGTTAGTCAGTCAGTTATTTGGGGGCGGGGGAGCAGGGAATTGGTAACACTGGTTGCAAATATATACGCCATACTTTGTTGACGAGTGCCAATAAACACGAGATCTAGAGATGAAGCAGACATTCTATGTCGATTGCCTGCATCTCCAACACCATGTTAACACGAAATATCACACATGATGACTATCACATGTTAAGAAACTGGTAATCTCTCATTAATAAGCTATCTGACTAAATGCCAAAGAATTATTGATATAAGTATAAAACTTGGCCACTGCGGTAGAGTATAGCTTCATTATGGATAAGGTGTTATTTTGATAAATCACAGTGTTACACAGTAATATTAACTGATGACCATGTTTCGAGCACAAACTATTGCCACTCATAATCATATCAAGTCACTCACACAACTTTTTTCCTTCATTTATATACATGAGTAAAATTGATGATTAGACATTTGAATAAAAATCAATATGGGATGATGTACATTCAGAAATAATAATACGAGTGTTATTGATCAATTGCAATCAGATGGGAAATAAGACAAGTGTTTTTATAGTCATAATAAGTTACTTGTTAGAATGTTGTGATGTGCTTGAATTGAAATAGAATTTTGAGATTATTTATCATCCTCTTCTGATTTGACTGGTGGTAATAATATCTTCCATACATATCTCTGGTATTTGCATTGAGTCATTTCCGCTGCATGTGTTGGGTGTAGACTCAATGAACCAGGATTCAGTAATCAACCACCTCTCTCTCTCCACCTACATAGATTACATCTTAGAATCTTAATCCTCTCCCACCTTATTGTGTGGTTGTGTGTTAATGCATGCAATGTAATTGCTGAGCTTTTTCTAAATTACTCATCTTCTCGGAGTCAATCATTCTCACCTTAGCTAAATTCTTATGTTCCGACAATCTGATTACCCGCGATCTACTAGTTTGACCTATATAGTTGACTTAACTCACAGTCATTGTAAGGTATTTTGTAAATTATATTATTTTGTCTAATTGGGTCCACTGGGTCTTTCAGCCTACAGAGCTTGTCCTAACTGAGTGAGTTTGTAGGTTTGAAAGCCACTACCCTAATTCCTGCTTTATTAAGAATCCTACGTAGGGGCTGGTCTCAGATGTCCCCTCCTTATATGGTATAACAGTAGATGACTTACATTCTCTCTTATTTATGTTATCACTACTAGTTTCACAATTATTTTTATTTTGCTTTTGGTCCTTACTGATCTTCCTAATTCATTAGGAAGCAATTGCACTTCACGCATTAACACACAACCACACAATAGGGTGGGAGACGGTTAAAATTCTCAGAAGTAATATAAGTAGGTGGGGGATAAGAGGTTGATTACTGAATCCTGGTTGATTGAGTCTGCACTCAATAGATGCAACAGAAATGACTCAATGCAAATACCAGAAATGTGGAAGATATTATTACCACCAGTCAGTCAAATCAGAGGAGAATAATAAATAATCTTAAAATTCTATTTCAATTCAAGCACATCACAACATTCTAACAAGTAAATTATTATGACTATAAAAATACTCGTCTTATTTCCCATCTCATTGTAATTGATCAATAACACTCATATTATTATTTCTGAATGTACATTATCCCATATTGATTTTTATTGCAATATTTAATCAATTTCACTCATGTGTATAAATGAAGGAAAAAAGTTGTATGAGAAATAATTTGTGCTCGAAACGTAGTCATCACTTAGTATTACTGTATAACACTACACTGTGTGATTTATCAAAATAAAATCTTATCCATAATGGAAATACCAAAGAAATACAAAAGACTATCCCCTAATGAAGCATAAAACAGAGATCTAGTTATTATATTTAGGATTAAAAAAAAAACTTACAGCAATAAGTAATCCAAGTAATGGAAGTAAACACAGAACAGTAAATGATAAAGCTAAAAATGGTGGAGCTCTTTTCTCTGGTTCACGGAACATATGTTCAATTTCTGGTTTTGCTGATGTCGGTCCAGCACCGATGATAGCATTTGGATTGGAGGCACGTTTCAATGCAGCCGGTGATGATGATTGTTGACGTGAAACATCAGTAGCTTGAGCAATACGACGCTTGGTTTCTTCACCAGCTTCACCAACGAAATGAAGATCTAAATCAAACTGGATTTTTGAAAAGAAAAGAAAAAAAGAAATAAAGAAGTTGATCAACTCGAGTATATGACAATAATAAGGCGTTGAAAAATAAGCGCAATAAAGAATGTAATTGGTTACAGGATTTCATCATGAGCTGACATCGGTTAGAGAACCAGACAGCTGTTTCGTCCTAGTTTGGGACTTTTCACAGTACGCACCCACTGCCAGGGTTCGAACATAAATAATATAAATATAAATAACACACTTACCATATGCCAAATCAATGGAGTTTTAATCAATGAATCGCCAACAATTAATTCTGCTTTATATACTCCTGAAAGGTAGTCGAATTCAGCTGCAGATGCATCTGGATCCTGAATAATAAATAAAGAAAATAAGAATAAGAATAATTACATGGCTGTTTCGACAGGTGAACAGATATTACGAGTCAGTGTTATCCTCATGATCAGCAAAATCAGACATTTAAACCTAACGTAGATTATAGGTCAAGTTAGTGGATATTCATTGGGACATACTAACTAGTAACTTATTAGATAGCTGTATACTGCTCGCCAACCATGTCTCACGTGGTTCATGGTTCGACCCCCCTCCCGGCTAACACACTCTTAAACCTCGCTTAGCCACTAAAGAGGGAAAGTTGTACGCGTGTGAGGCTAACAATCTCACCCGCCTACTAAAACTTAAAAGCCCAAGCCCATTTGAAAGGCAGAAGAGAATGAAACATACATAATTAACTGTAATTTTTAGTCAGATTGCCTTTTCCATGGAGTAATAAATCCGCTCAGTTAATCTCTTTTGCCTTACCCATTATCACAGAGTAGTAAGCAGTCGAGTGATCAGTCGTATATTGTTTAGTGTTGAAGTTACCCGTAAGATCGATCCCAAATCCAATATTATCACAAATAAAACAATGGAGGTCAATAATTTGATAGTTCAGAAAGTTGTACATGCTTTCTAGGAATATTGTTTTCTTTGAGCTGGATGGTTCGTTTAACTGTGAAGCTTTCATTCAGGTTAATACATCTTCAGTCAGTGCTAACTTCAACGTGATGTAGATGTTCTTGTAGGTGTTATCAATAAATTCCTTTAACAATTGAAGCTATGCCCATCCCCTGGAGAGATCGAAGATAAACTAAGCAACAGTGTGACAAAAGTGACTTCACTTATTCAAAGTAAGGTAGCTACCATACGCATTTACACATGTATTTGGCGATAAAACAAGCCTTCTGTTGTGAGGGTTACTCAAACCTCAAAAGGTGGGGTGGGATTCGAACTCCTGACCCAGTGGGTTGGATCAATGAGACACTAGTAAATGTGGTTATTCATAGATGAATGTACGATAGTTGTGCATGGTGTGATGTGTACTATGTGGCTTGAAACCGCTGTACAATAACAAACATTCCACTTAACTTCCTGGTCTTTTCCCCCACTTGTACACTCCATGCTATCGAAAGCCACCGTCTCTAGCGTAATCGCCCTTGGCTTCTCAACACTCACCAAATCAGCAACAGCTTTAAAATCTTACAGGAAGCTCTGGAGATCTGCTTCCTCGAAAAGCATTGGCCAGAGAATTTTTATCTGGTCGGAAGTGGAATCCGGCAGAATAAATTACATAAAGTAGTGGTAAAACACAACAAGCCTATATTGAAACTTTAATTTCCGCAGAAAATTGATGTTCTGCTTCTATTACTAGCCCTTCATTTCATGCTTTATGCATACTGATCCAAAAATTCTCTCCATTTCTCTTGTTCGCAAATTAATCTGTCTTTCTCCTTTATTCAAGATTCATCCAGACGACAATACACAATGCACTACTACTTACACATTCTTGTCAGTTGTCAAAGCGGATGAATATCAACATCACTCACATCAGTAGTATCCCCCTCTTTGTGAAAACTTTCACTCTTACAAGCAGATGTTAACTATAACACATACACTCTAGACAACTAATAGAAGAACTGCTCTTTTACTGCCGTATTTTCAGCTTTTCTTTCCAACTGGAAATAGAACGTTTACAGCTGTATGTAAAAAGACCTCAGCAACTGAACTTTACCAGAATTATGAGAAATTAAAATATAAATATGGAGAGAAACTAGTAAACTTGGTGGCTGGTGACTAGCAGTGGAAACCAGGACGCGCATTTCGTCCTATTCGCCACTCATCAGTAAGAGTGATGGTGTTCAAACTGAGACTCGAAACTGGTACCCTTCGTTTATAAAAATACAAAAGCGTTATCCACCAGTGAGGGACGAAATGTTACAACAGAAGTCGAACATTTCACTTCATGTTCCAGTGATACAATTGATGGGGAACTGAGGCGACTCAGATAAGTCCTCATAGACAATGGATATCCTCCAAGATTTATTGAGAAAACATGAAGTTAAGGGAAAAGCCTGAAAGAACCCAGACGGTGCCGAAGAAACTGCTATTTACGAGAGTTGGATTTAAAGGTGGTACCACAGCTGAGATCCCAAAGAATCGCTTATGCAAATCACTTAGGAAAGCCTTCTTTACGGCTGAGCTACGGATCAATTTCTACAGCCGACAAGTGATCAGTGGGTGAGTTAAGGATAAACTGCTGCTTTGGACGGGCCACTTCACTGTGTGTTTATAAATTCACCTGCTCATGTGGAGCTAGTTATAGATATAATAGAGAAGATTTGTAGCTCAGGTGGATGATTTTGGTGTGGTTGTGTTCTCTGAGCTGGATGGTTTGGTTGCGAAGCTTTCATTGCTCTACTGAGCAACATCTTCAGCGCATACTTCGATGTGAAGTGAGCGTTTAGAATTCTTTATGAGTTTATTAGTCATCTCTTCTAGTAACTTTGAACGTGATTGGTTGTTTTCGTGTGACATTTCACCCCCTAGTTTGCTTGTCTCGGTGCTGGCTGCTTCTTTGGTCTGAATGTCGTTAGTCATTCCTTCTGCTAACCTTGAACGTAATTGGTTGTTTTTGTGTGACTTCTCACTTTCTAGTTCGCTTGTTTTGGTGTTGACTGTTTCCTTGACCTGAAGTTTGACTTTGTTTTTGTGTGAATTTCTTCGTATGGATTGGTATATTTTGTCAATCTCTATGTGTCTATTGATTGCTGATTCATTTGAATACCAGGCCTCTAGGAATTCTCTGGCATTTTTGCAGTTCCCTTTGTCTAAGATTTGAACATTGTCCCAGTCGAATTGGTGCCCGTGGTTGTCTGCATGTAGTGATATGAGGGAGTGTATGTCGTGTCTTTTGACAGCTAGTTTGTGTTCGTGAATGCGAAGACGAAGAGGGCGTCCACTTTGACCAATGTAATGTTTGTCGCAGTCGTTGCAACTTATCTTGTAGATGATGTTAGTTTTGTCTTCTTTTGCCGTTGAGTCCTTTGGTTTACATAGAACTGAGTGTAGTGACTTTGTTGGTTTATGAGCGACATCGATTCCAAAAGGTTTGAACTCATAGAGAATTCTAAACGCTCACTTCACATCGAAGTATGCGCTGAAGATGTTGCTCAGTAGAGCAATGAAAGCTTCGCAACCAAACCATCCAGCTCAGGGAGCTAGTTATATTGGCCGGACAAAGCGCACACTTTCCAAACGCATCTCTGAACATTATCCGGCATAGTTAGCAAAAGGACAGTGCAAGACAATTACTAGTTCCATTCTCGAGCACTTGGTGAACTCAAGCCACGCAGCTCCACCGGAGTCGTCTTGCAAGATCACCTACAAGGTGAGGCCAAAGGACTTCAAATTTTGATATTTGTGTATGGCGGAGGCGTTGGCAATTCCCCAACACAACCCCGAACTCTGTATGCCGAAAATGTTTGTCCAGTCTCTTATTCTACTATGGTCTTAACCTCTTCACTAGTCGTTCCCTGTTAAAAAATTTTATTTTTTTAAAAATTTTATATTTTCCTTTTAGTTTGCTTTTACTTTAATAATTAATTCACTATTATCACTCTCACATGTTCCTTTTGTATATTTTCACACCCTCTTCACACTTGTTAAATTGACACTCAACTACCACCTTTATTCTCACTCAATAGTAATTTTAACCTTATCAAATTTCTATCTTTATTCCGTTGAGTACCACATAATATACAACTTTTAATTTTCTTTACTTCTAAAACCACTTCAGAGTAATTGTATCAATTATGTCACCCCTGTTACTCAATAATAGACCACTATACACTTTCGGTAAGTATAAATACGACTGTACAGCCTCCGAAGGAAGATGATTTCGTCGATAAAGAAAATTTTCTTCGTTGAATTTGTCTTTTATTTTCTTCATTTCAGTTCAATTGAGATCAACGAGGGGAAAATTAGAAATTGACTTAAACAATCCAGAGAAACTATTTACTTTAAAAAAAATAAAACTTACAAGGAATAGTTGATAAGTTTTCTTTCCAGTCTGTTTGTCTTTAATTATTTCACTGCATGTATAAGTAATTGCTTGTAGAGTTTTTTGATGAGTTAACTGAACAAACACCTGATGAGCTGTCAACTGGGCTTGACTGCTACTACCGTCTGTAAGATGTAGATCTAGTGTTATTTGTTGGCCAACATCTAAGCTGATAGCACCGGAAGCTGTTGATGCTTTATGTGTTTGACCAGGTGTTAAACTACAAAGAGGGAGTGAGAAGAGAAAGCAAATTTAGATTATTGAATATCTTACGATACATGGAAAAGGTTGTTTTTGCATGTGCCAGGCCTAATGAGCTATACTTATCACATGACAGCTGGTGATACTGTAACAACAGAAGACAAGGGCCAGGCAACAGATCGTTTATTAAGGAAATCAACACATATTTATAGATTTTCATGTACATTATTATAGATTATTGTTAGTAGAAAATGCAGTCTTTTGATTGGTTGTTTCTCACAGAAAGTTAACCTTGCATCTCTTTGTGGCCGTTTCTTGAAGTTCAGATTATCTATCTGCAAGTTTTATCCGCCTACGCAAAGTCTGCTGTGATTGGTTGTTGAATCAGTCTTTGTTCTTATTTTTCTTACGACCAATATTGGGGACATAATAAACAATGACGTAAATTACTGTCTACCAATATTTGGCTAGCAGCCAGCTCTCACCACAATACCACCACCACGTAAAACCAAGGCTGGCGTAGGTGGAAAGGGGGATTAGAACCCAAGACCTATTTTGGTTGGAAATTAAGTGCCTAAAACCATTGAGCTACATATCTACATTATGGAATCCAGAGTCTTAGCAAGTGTTCTAATCAATCTATTTCTCCTTCAGCACCAGTAGTTGAGCAACTAAAACAAAAAAACTAGAGGAGGCGGTATTCGACTATACACAATCAATCATAACTGAGATACGTCACAATCGGTTTGACCTAAATTTTTTCTTGATTAGCAATCTTTTCTAGTGCTATTCCTACTATAGTTCACTGCTTTTCAACATTTCAGATAGTAACTTACACCTAATTTTCAACTACTACAAGTGTTAAGAGTTAACATGTTTTGTGTATGTCTTCTGCATTCAAACTAAAATTTCATAAGTGAATATTTTCATTCCAACTGGATTCCTCCCTATTGCCGATTACATCCATTGTGGATGAATAATTGTAAACGTTATTCGACTATCACTTAAATCCATGTGTATTTTTTAAAATCGTGTGCTGTGAAATAAGTTTAAACAGTACTTGGTTAAAAAGTGTCTACATATAAGCGTTGCCTTTACGGTTAGACATTTCGTGCATTACTGCTCCCCCCATCAGCACTCACATGGATCTGTCGACTACTTCTAAAGGTTCACCGACCCGGTGGGGGGGGGCAGTGCAGGTACAGGCTCTTACCAATCTTGCAAGAATGCCTTGCACTTAGACGGCGTAAACCACATACTATACTTACAGACACTCACTGTCAACTGATTAAGTGCAATTTAAAAGGCCTGAATGGTGTTATCGCACACTATAAGACGATATTTTCTGCATACTCAAGGTCGAAAAGTCTTTCTCCGGTAAGCAGATGTACACCACCACCGCCACCACAACGCACATCCTTCAGAGCTGTTTTCGGAATGTCATCGATAGCAGAGATAAAGAAAAATTGTGAGATTAGGTAATCCTTTTCTACCTGAGGTGTTTTTACATAGGACTTCCAAGGAGGTTAACAAAATTCTCAGGAACACGTCTTTGTAACAGAGAACAACTCTAAAGGACAGTTCAGTCCAATGAATCGAAGGTGGACATATTATCAAAAAATGTACAACATTTGTTGTTAGCCTGCAATACGAGTGACGCAGTTAATCGACTGAATGTTAATCTCGAATCTACACACATATAAAAGGGGAGATTTAAGAGCCCTCTTATGATTCCATGTAATGTTTATCAACACTATAACCGTATTAATCTTTTCAAGTAACATATAAAAATCAGTCTCTACGCCTATAGTATAACAACAAAAATCAATACCTGATATCAGCAATATGACGTTCATGAGCAGTGTCCATTATTGTTACAGTAGTCTGAGCAACCTTAGCTTCAGTAATTACTCGCAAAGGAACCTTTAAGTGAAACAAAAAGAACGGAAAGAAAGGACATTAATTTCAATAAAGAACTACAGCCTAATTAGAACTGGGCGATAATCAATAAATAAATAAAACGTCTTCATAGGTATAACACACATGAAATCTCGTCGTCTACCATAATAGTTGTGATTGTATATATATATATATATATATATATATATATATATATATATATATATTATCAGAACATTAAAATTATGCAGTGAAAGAGGATATTAAACCGGGTTCGTGGATCACTGATATCTACACAGTCAACTTTTGGCCTGTAGGTCACAGATTTGAATGCTGCTGTGCCCTAATGAGTTAATATCACTCTATGAGCGGTAAATATGGCTACACTCAACAACCAATTGAGTTTCTATGCAAGTTGGTATTGAGCCGCACTTTGTCATGTGAGGATGGATGATATTATCTGACTACCGAAACCATAGGAGATGAAGTAGGGTTTAAAATTATGATGACTCAATGGTTGGAGTACCCTCCCAGACCAATGATGGACCCGATCCCCAATTACAGCGAGACCACCTATGTACCAAAAAAATGCCACCAAACTGATTTTGTAGTTCAATGCAACAAATTACGTCATCCCTGGTGTAGACGTCATATACAGCCTACGACAAAAGGACGTGTGGACTACATAATAGTTCTCTCCGCCCTCCTCTGTGGTTGGATAAGAGACATGGCTATTAAAAGTGGGAGACATGAAAAGACTAACTGTCTTCGATCGTAAGTGTCTGCGTTCTTCCTCCCGTGATATGTGGTATAATAGGGTGAGTATTATCGAGGTTAGGCATCGGTCGAGTGCTAGGTAGGTGGGAGGGGAAATCAATCGACGAGGTTGCGAAGTTACATCGACTGAGAGAGATGGTTAGGACATGTGTTACACACGCATCCCTAGCCATTACCTTCCTCAACAACGGGCAATGTTAGCTGACATAGTATGGATCGAGTTGGAAAAGACCTAGTGGTGGTCAAACCAGAACTCGGTATCAGTTCATGAAATCTTGAACAGTTAGTTTGAGCCATGTAGGGAGACGGAGGCGTCCTGGTTGGGGGGTCCTCGGGATGCTAAGGACCAATATGGCTGGCGCAGATGCATTCACTTTTCATCACCTCCCGGATCCATTATTCTTTCTCCCTCATATTTCTACACATTATCGTTCTATTGAATCTCTTCCCTTGTATGCTGCATAGAGTGTGGTAACTTGAACTGGTATATTTCTGTGCAGTCAGTCAGTCAGAATACTACGACTATAACCCAATGTATAACTCTACAGTTTATCTGTTTGTGACTTCATCTACTTACGCTCAAATTGGAATGGGAAATGATGGAATTTAAGCTCATGGTATCTAGTGATTAATAACTGTGAGTGACTAAGTGTTGGTGGATGTCACCCTTTTAGTCCTTATATTGATTGAGATATGACGAAGATATTTTTGAATATGGTGATTAGACGACGGAATAATTACATACCTCTTAGAAAGACGAGGATTACTTGGGATTCATGAAGAGAGAGAGAGAGAGATCACTACATATTTTAGACTAAAGAAAAGATTTACATGATACCTTATTAACTGCTTATGTGAAGAATTTAACAATTTAATAGCCTTCAATACGTATTACCTTGCATGCAATATCAGTAGCCCAAATTTATCAGGCCGACCATTGATATCAGGTGTGCGTCAGCCGAGGATCGAACCCCAGGCGATGTGGATGGTCGGCGAGCGTCCTAACCGGTGTGCCACCGACGCATATATTCATATATCTTTTGCATCCTAAGCGGAACAAACGTCTTCACGCTTGAAGTTTCACGTTTTGGTAGCAGTAACGTATTTTTGATGGATTAGGGTTTTCTGTCAACTGAGAGAGTGTTTTCAGCAATGTGTCGTCCAACCGGGAGTCGAACCCGGGTCACATACGCAGTTGGCAAGCATCCCCATCATTAGACCCACCAAAGTATGCCATAAATGCATGTAATAATAATAATAATAATAGTCAAATTAGAATACCTGGACATTAGTTAATCCTAGAAGTTTACGACGATCACCAGCCTTTTTACTGATTGCACTAATTTCTAATGCATAATATCCTGGTGACGGTGGAGCAGTTGATTTCGGATCAGGAAGCAAAGAAACTTGGTATATATTGCTGAAAGGAAAAATAAGAGTTAGGACAAAAATACGCACACACACACACACAAACACAAAATAAATGATGAGATGGAATTGACAATTGGAAATACGACTAAGTTGAAACAACGAACAACAGGCACTCGTGTTTTGATACGGTTGAGTTTGTCTGAGTTGGACGGTTTTAACTGTGAACCTTCTATTCTTCTTCGTTTCTTCTTTCCATAGACAACTTCTTCAGCACTTACTTTACATTACAGTGGAGTAATTAAACCGTCCACCTCAGAGAACACAACCACGTCTAGAAACAATACCACTACCACCAAGACCTAGAAGAAGAGGGAGGAGGGGAAATCAATAGATGAGGCTGTAAAGTTACATCGGCTAAGAGAGAGAGAGATGGTTAGGACATGTGTTACGCATGCATCCTTAGCCATCGCCTTTCTCGACCGACGGGCAATGTTAGCTGACACATGGTCAGGTTGGAAAAGAGTCAGTGGTGATCAAACCAAAACATGGCTTCATCAGTCAATGAAATCCACAACAGTTAGTTTAAGCCAGTCACGTAGGAAGGTGTAGACTGCCAGTCTGGTTGGGGTCCTCGGGACGGTAAGAACCAATGAAGGCTGAAGACAATTATCGGTGATATGGCTCAAAATTTTCGTTGTCAATGCCTGTTGCAGATGCATCCACTCCTATAAAACTATATGTTTCTTCGATATTACTATTCTTTTTGCCTCATATCTCTTGTTTACTGTCTCTATTTCGCATTTCTTTTTACTTTCTTCTCTGGCTTTGTATGCGACATGGAGAGTGTGGCGACTCGAACTATTGCACACATCAGTGCAAAGTTCTATGTTGAAACCAGTCAGTCAGAAGAGTGTATATATCATTGTGGTACTTTTATACAAATGGAAGGCATACTATTAGATATTTCAAAATAACTCACAAACTGATACATCCAGTTAGAAAGTAGGTCACTGAGAACCCGGGATTACTGAACAGCTGATTCATCCTACTTTGGAACTCTTTAGTAGAAGTGACATTGAATGAGGACGGGTTGACCATCAGGTTAAAGCGATTTCACTGCACATTATTAGTGCCTGATTGATTATAAGATAGACTTTTATAGTGAGGAGTTGGGTGTAAGGATGGATGCTCAACGGTAAGATTGCTATATCACGAATTCATGGGCCAGTGAAAACCGATAAACTGGTCGAAGAAGCAGCAAAGACAGGACTCCAGGTGAACATAGACAAGACGGAGTTTGTGAAAATAACCAACCAACCAACAACAACAACAGCAGCAGCAACATCCAGCGCCAATCACCATCAACGGGAGGGATTTGAAAGAGGTTACTTCATTCACTTATCTAGGGAGCATTGTCTCAACTACAGGCAGGTGGAACGGACGAGGATGTCAAATCGAGAATCGATCGGGAAGGCGAGAAACACATTCATCAACCTGAAACCAATCTGGAAATCTTCGTCACTCAACCTGCATCAACAACAAAATGATTCGGATTTTCAATACAAACGTCAATTCAGTTCTTCTATACGGATCAGAAACTTGGCGGGTCACCAAGAATATTTCCAACAGCCTGTTGCAGACCTTTATCAACAACTGTCTTCACTCTGTACTGAAGATCAGATGGCCGGAAACAATCACCAACAAGAAACTATGGGAACGAACAAAACAAGAACCCATTGCCCAACAAATATGCATGAGAAAGTGGAGATGGATTGGACACTCGCTGAGGAGGGGGTTGGGTGACATCGCGCGTCAGGCCATAGCTCGAGTGGAACCCGAAAGGGAAGTGGAGAGTGGGACGTCCAAGGCTGACATGGAGGAGATTGTGTGAAGAGGAGTTGAAACAGTATGGACTAACATGGATGCAGGTGAAAAGTACAGCAGAAGACAGAAGCAAGTGGATGTGTGCAGTTGAAGCCCTATGTTCCACTAGGAACCCAAGGGAACAGTAATAAATAATAATAATAGATTCCGTCCAAGTGGTTGAATGGTCAATGGGTTGACTTCATATAACCTGCAGATCCTGATTACGATCCCCTGGGTGGGGAGGGGTCATGAGTGAGTACTACTGAAATATCCTTAACGAGGACTAACAGCTATATCTAGTACTCTCTTGTTTCAAATATTTGTTTAACGAATGTATCAGTTTATAATCGAAGCTGGGATCACGGAGATCCCCACATATAAAAGCACTTTTAAAGACAAAAAAATTGAGTTAATATGCATAAATTTTGCTTTTTTTTCTTACTTTTTATCATCTTGTTTAAAATCTCCACGATCAGCTGGTCCAACTAGAACTTGATTTTCATCAATTTTCTTGTTAACAAGATTATAAAGACCATGAGCTTTAAGCGTGAATTCACTAGGCTTAATATAAACACCAGTCCATAGATGTTTCAAGCGTAAATTAAGATTGGGATTTATTCGATCGACTGAAAACTCTGATGGGATAGCTAAACTCAATTCATCATTCATATTAACTGATGGTTCAACGACAATAGGTATCTATGAGAAAGAAAAAGCAAAATACATATACATAAATATACAAGATAAAATTAGAAGATAATGTGGTATTTGATATCAATATTAAAGCCGAAACCTGACGTCCTTTCTACCATTTGGCTTCACTTTGTAGATGATCTTGGTCTTAACCTGTTCACTAATCGTTCCCTGTAAAAAAATTTTTGATTTTTTCTTTTCATTTTACTTTTAGTTTGCTTTTGCTTTAATAATTAATTCACTATTATCACTCTCATATGCTCCTTTTTTGTATTTTCACACCCTCTTCACACTTGTTAAATTGACACTCAACTACCCCCTTTATTCTCACTCAGTAGCAATTTTAACCTTATCAAATTTCTATCTTTGTGTCGTTGAGCACCACGTAATTTACAACTTTCATGTTTTTTACTTCTAAAGCCACTTTCGAGTAATTATATCAATTATGTCACCTCCTATTACACAATAATAGACCAATATATATTTTTGTAAGTATAAATACGACTGTACAGCCTTTTGAGATGATTTCGTCGATAAAGAAAATTTTCTTGGCTGAATCTGTCTTTTATTTTCTTGATGACTTAATAGGTATTTTCGGTGATATGTGTAAAACTTGGGCACTATGGTAGTGTAACGGCGAAAGACGAAAGACTTGGTAAAGGAATATTTATTTGGCAATTGGTATCTCTATATAGCCAAATTATGTACGCCTTATCTTCAATGGACAATCTGCACAAACCGTGTCGTGCTACTACTTCTGCCGTTCCTTCATATTGTGTTTCTTTGTGTTCCTTTCAGTGCGTCTCCCATGTATCGCCACAATTCTGTACCATTTGTCTTCTCTAACATCAAGTGTATCTCCTTAAGTACTACTGATAAATCTTATCAATAGCACTCGCCACAGTAGTATGTAATTCTATATTAAATTGTTTATTAGATATATCAAACAGTCAGTGAAACAGTATTATTATTTACTGGATGACAGTTTCGAACACAATTTATTACTGTTCATAATCATATCAGTTATAACCACACAACTTCGAAACTTTCGTTTTATAGTTTCCTCTATTCTTTTCTATTTGTCGTAGTAAAAATAATGATGACATGCATGTCAAACATGCGCAAGATAATGACAACACCAACAATGAGGAATATAAATCATCAGTAGTACTTCCTCATACAAAGAAGGAACCTCAGAGAATTCTTAACAATGCAGGAATAAAAGTGGTTGGGATTCAAACCTACAAACTCAATTAGAAACAAGCTTTGTCAATTAAAGAATCCCGTGGAGCCTTTAAAACAAAACAATTTAGTTTATCTAATACTCTGCCTGTGATGATTATCACGTCAAATACATAGGTCAAAGTAGTAGAACAGGGGCAGTCAGTCAGACTAGCGGAGAATAAAATACCTAGCTAAGTCTAGATTAGTTGACCCAAATAACATAAGAAATCTAGAGAATAGTTCAGCTATAGCACTCACTACATGCAATTTCGCACAACCATACAGCATAGGATGGGATGGGATGGGATAGGATGACAGTTTCAAAATCTGCTGTCACAGGGTGGAGGGAGAGATTGATAACAGAAGCTTTGTTTATCGAGTCAACTGAGAGAATACGTGTAATAGGAGTGATTCAACACCTGTCCACCCAGATATCTGGACAATTCTACTACCACACCTACGACGACGAATAGAAGAGAACAAAGAAAACTACAAAACTCAAGTTTCGAAGAAGTGTGATTACAACTGATGAGATGATTATGAACAATAAATTGTGTTCGAAACTGTCATCCAGTAAATAATAATACTGTTTCACTGTGTGATACATCTAATAAACAAATAAATATGGAGCTTAACTGTTTGCTTTCAGTTTTGATCACGGATTGATGTCAGTTGGAGAACCATTGAAAACTAGCAGGGAGTACCGGATAAACAGCTGTTTCATCCTAGTTTGGGACCCTTCATCAGTACCCAGCCACCGTCAGAGTTTGAGCCGAGAACCTTCCAGTTACAATGCAAGCTCGTAGAACATTCAGGCCACTGAGACCCGATCCAATGGCCCATGAATTCTAACCTCTACCAATTCATGGTTTGGTTTGTGTTATAGATGATGGAGATATGCTTTATTGTCTTAAGCACTCTGTTTTTATAGCCAATGAGTCCCAGGTTCGAGTCTCAGCGCTCCATTTATTTCAGCCTGGTGGATAATAACTGAGTAGTATCATCAGCGCTTTCATACACAATAGGTTTTACACATAGCCCGGTATACTGGGTAACTGACGGAGGCCTAACGAACAACCACCAGTCAACTGTGTTGTAAATAATCGAATTTGGTATGTGGTGCACATCTATTTTTTTTACATTATGAAACACATTTAACGCATGTAACAGCTTATAATATTACTTAAAGTGGAGCAGAGTTTGTTTTTTGGAAAGGAACTCCTACATTTGGGAGTTCAGTGTTTAAGCCTATGATGCGTTCCGGAGACTATCATTGGTAGTCAGTTACAAGAGCATATCTTATGTGCAACTGCCCACAAATCTTATCATATCAATATCTGGTCTAGCTGGTTCCTAAGTTCTGCTAGATGCCGAAGGTGAGGTTTCACCACTCGAATAAACCATCGCTGAGGGTAATTTGTATGGCATAATGCTAGTAGGTTGAATTAGTTAGAACTCAGGTACGCAGATCATATTTTCCATGGGTCAGGGGCAATGAGCCACACTTATTGTGTGAGGGCTGATGATACCACCCAGTTGCTCCAGGTGACCAGAACTCGAACCCTTAACCCACTTGCCGAAAGTTAAGTGATTAACCCAGTGAACCACATCTCGTCTCTAAATATCATAAATTTGAGCATATATGCGAGTGATTTGCAGTTTAATAAGTTTTCAAACAAAAGTTAACACCCGTTTTAGATTATCTTAGGGCCAGGGGGTGTAAAAATTCTCTCTGTGACATCCTGTGCATACTAGTAATAACAATGCAAAGATAGAGACAAACATGTTTTCACACGTTATCACGTTTTTAAAATTAGAGAATCTAAGCAGTTGTAAAATGTATTCAGCAAAGTGGTAAAATACAGTACAACATTATGGAATTAATTATATATATATATTTTAATGCGACTTATCGATTTACTCACTTGCCTAATTTTGAGAACATCGATACTAGTGTTAGTTTATGTTCAAGCTCAATTACCTGTACCAGGCTAAGAGCCACACTTATCGTTTGGCGCCTGAGATGATACTGCCCAATTGTCCAAACCGAAGTAGGTGGAACAGGACTCGAACTCATGACCCATAGGCTGAAAAATGAGTGCTTAAGCCAATAGCCCATAGATTCCAAACATTTATTGGACTTTTTGTATGTAAATAGGTCAGAAATGAAAGATTGTTACTCAACAACCACCTGTAATTCTATGCAGTTGGTAGTGAGATGCGTCTATTGCTTGAGGACTAGTGATACTACCTGGTAAGTGGAACGCAGTTAGAACCCATGGTGAACTGTTTGTTGAAAGTCAAGCTCCCAGACAAATGAGTCACAGCTCTACAAATAGCTCAGAGTAGTTCATATGTCCAATAGGTCTGAGTAACATTTATTTTTACACGATAAATCCCATTTAATTAAGAAATTCACAAAACACATTTAGGAAGTATATTCTGTCCCATAAACGACCTGTTACAACCGAGGAAGGGTAGATTTCAGTCTTCTTTTTGAAATGCTGTCATGGGTTCATAGCCTCTGTCAGCCAGGTAAGTCCTGTTTACTGCCGAAGTGAAGACGGGAGTAAGACAAGCTGGCCGCCTACTATCGCCAATGATTTTCCTGATTGCAGTAGATTGGATAATGCGACAGACAGCAGGCAATGAGGAAACAGGCATAAAATGAACCCACACAAAAAACTCGGAGGATCTGGACTTCTCCCATGATATATGTCTGATTTCCCAAAAACTGGAAGATTTGCAAGTGAAAAGCAACAAGTTGGCAGAAGAAGCATCAAAGATGGGACTTCAGGCGAACATAGAGAAAACAGAGGTAAGTGATGAAGATTCCTGGGCAACACCAACAGACAACAATCAACATAAATGGGAGGAACCTGAAAGAAACAACCTCTTTTACCTACCTGCGAAGCATCGTTTCAACTACAGGCGGAACTGACGAGGATACCAAAGTAAGGATCGGGAAAGCAAGACAAGCTTTTATTTCTCTTAAGTCTGCGTGGAGATCAACAGCACTCAGCATGAAAAACAAGATCCGGATTTTCAACTGCAATATGAAGTCAGTGCTACTATACGGATCAGAGAATTGGCGCGTCATAAAGAGCACATCAAACAAACTACAAACCTTCATTAACAGTTGTTTTCGCTCAATACTCAAGATCAGATGGCCAGAAAAGATCAGCAACAGGGATCTCTGGCAATGAGCAAACCAACCAGGAACCGATTGTCAAACAAATAGGCAGGAAGAAATGGAGATGGATTTGTCATACTCTGAGGAAACCATCAAGTGACATCACTAAAGAAGCCCTCGGGTGGAACCCGAAAGGGAAGTGGCGAGTTGATCGTCCATGTGGAGAGGTCATGTGAAGAGATGAAAGCATGTGGACAGACTTGGAGCCAGGTGAAATCTCAGGCAGAGAACCGACCGCAGTGGAGACGCGCGGCTGAAGCCCTATGTTCCTCTAGGAATTAAAGGAAATAATAATAACGATAATAATAATAATATTAATAATAATGGACATTCAGGGAGGTGAAAAACCCTAATTCCACGCCGAAAGGATCAAACAGCGTATGAACCTGTTTTAATCGCCGGAAACCATGAGGATATATCTTTTGACACTGCCCCACTGCCTTGTTGATCATGACGTCGAGTCATGATCATGGCCGCTTGAGACAACCCCCTGTCTCGGTCTGAGCAGTATCCAAGACCTTGTAGAAACTATAAGATTTTGTGTAGCGTAACTCCTCTTAGCGCCTATAATGTAGCAGGTTTGAATACTGAATAATCGTCCTTTCGATTCTAACCTTCACACTATTCACATCTGGAATTAAATTTACAAAATTATCTTAGAAATTCATTTGCTATTCGTAAAATAAAAAGGAGTGAAAATCTTACCATCACAGTACTATCAGCCAATGCTTTGAAAGCAGCAACCATGTGTGCAGCAGCACGTGTATTTGTGACCTGACGTCGTGCATAAAGATAATTGAACAATTTGACTAGTTTACCCTGTATAGAAATAAAAGAGAATATTGGAGGGGGGGGGAGGGTATTAAATTTGGAGTGCAATTTTGTCGAAAGACGACATCATACAGTAGTAAAGCAAAAGAAATCGTAAAGCGTAAGAGCATTGAAGACATTATTGACGAGTCTATAACTACGGAAAAACAGTAGTCTAGTGCGCTTTAACTTCTCAGGATTCTTTAGCTAACATAGTAATACATTTCGCAATGCGCTGATTTAATAGAACAGGGATGCTAATGTTGGACTTGGACGCACTGGTCACATATACAGCGTTATACGTCAGCTACCTGTCTCCCTCAGCCTGTTCTAATTAGGCCAGAACACACAAAGATGTGACGTGGGAAGTATATTTAACAGTATGGTCAATAATGTTGCGTGAGCGAGAACAACCAATAAAAGGGTATTTCTTGGCCAAAGACATAGGAGTGAGCGAAAATATTCAGACTACCTTAATTCAATCTCACCATAAACACATGTGGCATAGCTGACAACATATCACACAGATACCTGAAATGATGTGAATTTCTAATGCAGAAATTTTCCCAAGTCTGCAGCAGTTCAATTTGCCACAGGTCATAAATACGCACACGGAGAGAATTTAAGAGACCTAAGAGATCGCGAAATGTGAATACATTTCACAGCCGAAACCACTAAAGAACAACTTTGAGCCATATCACCGACAGTCTCTAGCTGTTACAATCTCAAAGACCACCCCCCACCTCAGCCAGCCAGTTTTATACCTCCCTATGTGGCTGAAACCAACAGTCAAAGACTGTATATAGATTGATGCCATGCCATGAATAACGAAAGTGGGCACCTGTTTATTTTCTCCCTATAATCTGCATAAAATCATGAACAGCTTTCTTCATTTCACAGGTAGTAAGTAGTTGTTATAGGAACTTACATGTACTGTTAGAGCTGATTACTGTTTGAAGCTAGTTGGTAGATGGTGACTAGCAGTGAAATCCAGGATGCGCATTTCGTCCTATTTGGGACTTGTCATCTGGATGTGTCTGCATTCCTTGATTACTTCTTATTTTTATAACGAACTGTGCAATATGAGCACCAATAATTGCGTCATACGTCATTGGTGCATCTGTTAATGGCCCTTTTAAACTGCGAGCTAGTAGGATAGATATACCTACATGTCGCTCAACTGTTTTCATCTGCAAACTTTAGTTAGCCTCATAATGACATTGTCAATATTGTCCTACTTGAAATGTTTGAAGCAGAAACAGCATTAGCGTGTTGCTTGACTGCAGTGCCCAAGAGACAACTGCTTCAGACCAGTTATATACAACCTCTGTTAGAAATGGCCTATGGAGTTGTGTCCGCAGGTAGAACTTACTGCTAGCTATGAACCGCTTCTTACTTACTTTGCTTCGGCTATCTCCTACGGGAGGATGAGCCGGCCTCACGAACATCTCGAATCATCGCTGCCCAGGCGCGGCGACCTGATTTGTAAGAGAGTTCATGAAGTTTCATGGGAATTTGGTACGAGTGATGTCCCCAGAATCGCTCGGCCTTTTGTTTGAGAGTGCCGCTCTAGCCTTTACACAACCAAGTGTGACCTACAAGGCAGTAGGAGTGGAGTAGGGAGTCCAATATCCATTGGCAGCCGGTGACCGGAGTTCGGTTCATACGCCTTTTTGAATGAGGCCAGACATCCAGGACATCCAACAAGCCCTTTGTCCATACGTCTTCCGGTGAGCTCCAGTGAGCTTCATACGCCAGTCGTTGGAGGTTTGGAATCAGGGTTTAGCCATCTCCCCTAGACTGTCATCCAATGGACAGTCAAGCGGGTGAAGAGCGCCGGACATCCGCTTTCGCCCTTTCATTTTGGTGAAAAACACCTCCGCCAATTGAAGGCAGTGAGTAGGAGTTCCTCAGGAGAGGCTATGTAAGACGCCCGGTCATATGGGAGCATTTCAAGAGGTGTGCGGAGGGGTGGCCAACCCGCAGCGCAAGGCACCCACCCCCGACCATCCTGAGGTTAATTCAACCCACTTCGCCAGAATATACCTGACTAGCTGGTCATCTAAGGGAAACACATCATACTACTGTTACACTCCTATTCATCACTAACAGTACGATTTCACCGTCAAACTGTACTGTCAAAATAAACCACACTATGATGGTAATCACTTTTAAATATGACCCCAATCTAAGTGACCTTTCTGGAATAGTAGGACCTGAAGGAACATTCGGTGTTAGTCAGTGTAACTTATTAGGTTATTGTGATATACAAGCCCAATCATCACAACATCAAGGTAGCAGCTGCCGATGCAAAGTTCTACGCCAGAAATTCAGTTCAACCTAGTATTACACGGATTATTTATTTGACATTAGAAGACTATGAGGAATACACAAGTTTTCTTTACATATCTCCACTATCGTTTATACGCCTTAAAATAATATTACCGATAAAAAAAAGACAGACAATACATGAGTGTACCACATGAATAATAATAATAAGTTACCTCTACAGCTTTCGGGACTTCTCCGTATGCATTTACGAATTCCACAATACCTTTCGCAACCAACGATGTTGTATACAAGCCTTTTTCGTACTAAAGGATAATAAAGAATTAAAAGGCAACATAAATTTACCAGTTGTACCTACAGGTATGAGATTATCTAAACGCTTTTTTTTAGGTAAGTTACACTGAAATAACATGCAGTTTTTGTAGGCTGACGGTCAAGGGGCATAGACTTGGTATTTGAGAAACTAGATATTATAAATAGTAAAATGTAAGTAAAACGTAACGTTAGTGAAGAACGCATAGCTGATGCATCCACACGCTGGACGAAAGCTTTTGCGAAATCTGTGAAGTATGATAGCAAGTAATATTTCTAACAGCTATTAACAGACTAATCGCTTAGAGACTGTAAAGGGAACCAAATGGATCCCAAAACACGGGCAGTCAGAACGTCGGCTTTATTTCACAATGATAGGTTATCCATCTAGATAGGGTTGTCTGCATTATACTAAAGAACTAGGCGTGAGTAGATGCTGCTGAGACCTGGCCATTGAGAGCAGAAGACATGAAAAGATTAGCTGTCTTCGATCGTATTTGTCTGCGTTCTATCTCCCGTGTGGAGTGGTGTAATAAGATGAGCAATATTAAGGTTAGGCGTCGAGTGCTAGGTAAGTTGGAGGGGAAATCAATCGACGAGACTGTGAAATTATATCGACTGAGATGGTTAGAACATGTGCTACGTATGCCTAGTCATCGCCTTCCTCGACGGGCAATGTTAGCTGACATAGGGCCAGACTGGAAAAGAGCTAGCGGCGGTCAAACGAAAACATGGCACCAGTCAATGAAATCCACAACAGTTAGTCTAAGCCACGTAGGAAGATGTAGACTTCCTGGTTGGGGTCCTCGGGACGGTAGGAACCAATGGTTGGAAACAATTGGTGACATGGCTCAAAATCGTTGTCAGTGGCACAGATGCATCCACTCCTTGTGACTTATGATTTCCAATTAAACTGTATTGTTCTTCGTTATTACTATTCCTTTGTCTCACACCTCTGTTTACTGTCTATATTATGCATTTCTTCGACTTTCTTCTCTTGCTTTGTGTGCTACATGCAGGGAGTGTGGCGACTTGAACTGCCGCAAATCAGTGCAAAGTTCTATGTCGAAAACCGACCGACCGACCGAGATGCTGCTGGAACTTTTGGTCAGCTAAGCTGCTTTATATAGTGCCCCACCACCACCCAGTATTGAGCCTTCTTTCAGCTTTTCAGATCGGCATACCATCTTTTTTACAAACCATTTCAATGACATCACGTTTCTTCTGTCAATGACTCGAATGAACTAGAGCATCTTTCTATTGCTCCCAGAAGCAACTACTGCATATATATCTGACTATCAGGACTCGTGATCCTTTCAATACAATTTTCAGCGTAAGTGATTTGTGCCAGAACAGATCAATATTTATTAGGATTTTATGACCTTGTGGTGTTAGTAGTTAGTATGGTGTTCCTTCAACATCACAAATAGATTAGGTGATCATCTCTTCATAAAGTTTTATAAAAAGAAGATTAGTAGTTAGTCTTGCTGCTAGTTGGGTTTGATATTGAGCTGCAAATAGTTTGGTACGACTAATTTAATTGTTAACTCGTTTAGAACAACAAATACGACTATGACGAACATTATAATGCATGACAAAATCTACCACAATACACCATAACATGGTCAGAGTTTGGACAGCTACTTTGAGAAGACTAGCAGTCCTATATGTAGGTAATGCAAAGTGATCTATTAGAATCTCAGACTCGATTGGCAAAGGGATAACTTTGCAGATGATATTTAGTTGTGTTTGGACTGCAGCTCGTTGAGTGGTAGGCAGAGGTGACTTAAGCATTTAAATTCCATACAATGGTTTCTGGGCTCGAATCCCACCCCATCTACTTCAGCTTAGGTGACTGGATAGCGTCACCAGCTCTCACACAGTGAGTGTGGCTCATTTGTCTGTTTCACAAAGAACATGTTTCGGGTATCTGAGTTCCAACCAACTGGACTTACTAACCGCGTAATAACATACAAACTACTATTAGCGATGGTTCATTCGAGTAATGAAACTTCAGGCTTTAGGTAAGCCAGATGTTGACAAGGTTTGTAAAAAAAAAGTTGGCACATAAATTACTCTCTTCAAATTGACTAGTGAAGAATCTTCAGAAGACATAATAAACCGATAGTGAGGCTTTGTAAGGTTTCAATCAAACCTGCTTAGTATCTAGTCTGCATGAAGTACGTCAGTTTAGACAATAGGCGCTAGACATTCATAGCTACCTTTCCACATTAAATGAAGCATTCTAGCTTAATCGGCGACGTCTCTACAGCCCGATAGCATGTTATCTATAAGGTATTTGATGACCAGAAAGCCAGAAAATTCATATTTTATAGCACATCTTTTTTTAAATTTTGACTAGATTTTCTACACACTCATACGTCTACTGAGTCATTTACTACGATAGAAAACATAACCGAATCTAATGATTCCCCCCCCCACACACACACACATACACACTAGTCATTTATTGCTACAAATTTCATAACCCCAGTGTTTGATTGATTTAAAACTAGTAGAGCAAAGTGAACATCAAAATAGTAAAAAACAACAACTTACAAATAGCTGATTACCATTCACTTCATCCGCTTGATCTAGGATATCATTTATACCTGACACATAACCATCCATAACTGTCTTAGTCAAGCCAAGTTGTGGAAGAATTTGAAGAATAAAAGCTATCCTGAAAATTGAAATTATAAAAGATTTTTGGAAATACAGGCAGAAATCTTTTTCAGTGATTATAAAAAAACTGAGGAATAATACAATAAACATACGTATTATGAAATCATGATTAAGTTTTAATAACAGACATCTAGGAGCAGTACACACGCCTTTCGGTTGAAAGCCGGATATCACACCTACGCCAGAGATGGCGTGAGTTGGTATTTGCCAAACGAACCTTCTATATCGGTGCTGAGATTACGTCAGTGATCAATCCATTGGCGTTGGCTGATGCAACTTCCCAAATAAGTGAAGTGGTCAGCGCGCTCCACCAACCACTTCACTCCCTGCCTATCTTTAAGCTAGGAGTCAATGTACTCCAGTTGAGTCCTGTAGCCTCATCATCTCACATTTGGCGGGAGCGAACTGCATGCCAAACATTCGAAGATTGCTGCTCCTCAAGGTGTGCAGAAGACTCTGCTTTATTTTGTCAGCGTCTTCACCTAGGAGGCAGGATTATATCATCTTCATATTCCAAGTCAACGAGATTATTCCCTGCTGGCAACAATTTAACCCCTGAGTCACTGAAGTCAGTTAGGATTAAGTCTATTAGTACATCTATGATGGAACTAAACAGAAATGGGGATAGTTGGCATTCCTGACACACAGCACTGGTTGTCACCACTTCAGATGACAACTCTACGTAGATCCTCGCCTGGCTGACTGTGTGAGTTCGAGTAGAGTGCCTTAATCAGTGCAACGTATTTTCTGGGCATTCCCTTCACAGCCAAACACCGCCATAGTACCTCTCGGTCGACGGGATCGAATACCGCCTTCAGGTCAAGAAATATGACGATTGTTGGAAGCTGGTTATTTTGTCTACGTTCCAGATCTGTCGAAGTAACTGTAATATTGCGTAGCAGTCGAATTCTTTTATGTGTACAGTTTTAAAAATATACACCAGTTGACGTCGCCACTTACGAAACAAATTTGTACTTAGTGTAGAAAAATTACTTAAATATTCACAAGACTTTAAGAAAGTATGTCACGATAAGTCGCTTCAGAATCGATTTCAAGGTTTTAGTGGATCACGGACTTCGTAAACTTAATAGTAAATAGATAAACAGATCAAAGTAGAACTTTGCAGAGAGATATGTCAGTCTACCACTCAACAACACAAACTACTTTCAATTTTAATGCAAAAATGTGGCATAAAGTTATCGATTTAGTATATATACATATATATATATATATATACAGACAATCTGAGAATCCGCCAAAACTGTTGAAGCAAACTTACGTTGTTGGAGTGTTGTCCTTAGCTTTCAGTTTGTTGACTGTTGCAGTAACCTGATTAGTATCAACTAGAATAGAAACCATAGGTGAGGAAATATATTACTAACTTTTTATTCCTAGATTTTTCATGGATGAAACTACAAAATATAAGTTTTCAATCGTTATATCTTGAGCCAACAACTGTTTGGATAGTTTTTCGACTTCTTGAATTGATACCTAGAGTGAAGGTGTGCGAAAAGATGAACTTTAGAAGTATATATGAATGCTGTAAATTGGTTAAAACACATCAGTAGAACGAAGAATAAATATACGTGGAAATTGTTTGACGAAAGCACATGTAATTCATCACTGAGTATATGATAATTGGTACAATTACTGTATGAGGATTCCTGCTTAAGCTTCAGTGCGTGATGTGGTTCGAATCTACGACTTACTGGCTGAAAATTGAGCATCTAGTCTTATAAGCTACAGCATCATGCATACAATGACAAGGGATAGTATATTTCAAGACAGGTGATTGGAAATTAACTTTCGACGTTCTCTGACAATAAGGGTTTTAGGTAAGCAGTTTATGAGTACAATTGTAAACTACAGTTTGGGACAGGCTATCAGGTTGAATTAAATTCCAACTAGTCTTCCACACGATGCTAAAGAACTGATGGAATGGATTACAAACCTGTGCCCAGTCGATAAACTAACTTAGAATAAAGCTGAATCAGATATTGACGTAAGTCACGAAAAAGTTCAACAGGTACGGTTTACAGACCAGTATTGTTTTGTGACCGTCGTTTACATAAACAGAGTTGACTTTGAAAGTAATCAAAACCTCGCAGTTACTTCACTACAAACCACTACTGACCCCACTAAATGGAAGAACTTAAGATTGACCGTTTGGTTACTTAGTAAATTCATTCCTTGCAATTTTAAAAATGCCGTCACACAATTAGCTGTGAATATGAGATCAGGACAACTGCTTTCAAAGAAGTGATATAATTAAGAGGTTATCACTGAGTAACTCAACACTGAATATTGGTTAGTGATTCAAAAGGAAGAATATACAATTGCACAGAGAATAATGCTACGTGCTGGAATTTTTCAATGGGTTAAAAATAAAGTGTTGGTGTACTGTCATCCGAATCTTGTCATGTCTTTCCTCCCCACTACTTCTGCAGGAACGGCCTTCAATAAATCAAGACATATACTGAGAGTGGATTACCATCCCATATAAGCTATAGTGGACTTTGTAGCAGTAGTCATATCAATTTAGATTGTCTAAACCGTAGAAATTACCGATAGTATCCTTAGTTGTTTAGTAGATGAAAGGATAACAGGACGAAACTTTTATGTAAAGCCAAAATTTGCAGTGGAATTTCACGGCTTTAGCATATAACCGGGGATAGGCACTATTACTTTAGAAGTGTATCATCTTCAGTACTGATAATGCAAAGGGGTTATTTGAAGGCAGGAAATGTCTGAAATTCAACCAATACAAATCTCGTAGTGATTTAGGGTAGATTCGCCACCGACTTAGTGAACACGTGGCAGAGCATGAAAGACAGTAAGAACGGCAGTTAGCAGTATTATCCAGTTGATGAAGAGCTCTGGAGTTAAGGGTCAGTAGCTGCAAATGCAACACTTCTAATTTACTTCATTTAAGCATTAGTAAATGAGGAACCATATGATCATGATATTTGCTCAATGATAACCTTGCGAACTTGTGAGAACAGCAACAGAAATCCAGTCTAGAGGGTGAAAAATAGTCTAAGGAGAAAACTGTGGCAATAACATAAAGGGATATGGTCAAGACCCCCCGAATAAACACAAAACCGCATAAGTATGAGAGATTATTACCTTGCATTTAGCGGAGCCCAAGATCTTTTGGCCCACACTTGCATAGAAAGCCAAGTCTGGATTCGTGATAGGTTTGTTTAGTGCAGAACAAATTGCATCTATATTTGGTATCTTCTCACCAAGAGAATGAAGGCCAAGAATGGCATAATATAATTCAGAAGGGTTGGTCGGTGATCTGTTGATTTGCTTCTCGAAAACTGTGCGGAAGTGACTTTTATCCTTAACGGTTACATAGCCAATGAATGCTGGATTATTTTCTGCAGTTAAGACATCTTCAATAAGGGAGAAGTATGCTAACAAAAACGGGACAATCAGGTGTCCCACCATCTCAACGCGAATCCAAACAGTGTAGAAGGTCGTGCTACCTCACGGTTGACGTCTGCAAATTAGCGTAAACAAACAAATAAAGTATCAAACTTCATGTAATGGGAGCACTAGAACCCATAAACATTAAGACTGACATTAAGTGTCATGCATAACATCGATATTAGGAAAATGGTAACATAAATTCTGAACTATAGCATCACCTTCGATTGTACAATCTGAGAGATACCCGACACTAAAGGAATGTTTTCTCAGAAGACCTAGAGAAAGGTTTCATATAAATATAGAAACGATGAGAGTAACGGTTTTAACCTTCGTGGTTTTGGATGAAAGACTCAGAAGCTCTCCATGAATTGTTCCGAAGTGCCCGAAATTAAATCGCTAAAGCAGAGTTTGTATTTGTAATCACATTTGCCGAAGTTCCAGAATCATTAGGAAGGATTTGTAAGTGACGGATTACAGGAGAAATGGGAAACTGTGGGCGTTCAATACTCTACAGTAAGCTTGCCTCCTGGTTTTATATTCATTTGTAGTTGACGAAGAGAACAACCGTGTATACCACCGATTGATTCATTCGAACAGATGGATACCACTCATGTCAACCATTTGTTCTTGCTACCTAGATCGGAGCGATATAAGTGCCGAATAGCTGTTCTGCCTCTCTGGGGCCGAGATCATCAGTGGCCTTTCTGGTTTCGACTGAGATGAATGAGAGCCGGATAAGTTCAGACCACTTGGATTCTTGCTATCTACTTGGGTGAAACCGGTAAAATACGGAGCTACGTCTACAAGTCAGGGTGAGACTTCGCTATAATTTCCTCATGAAACCGAAGTCATTCGGGTAATATACCATGACCGAGAAAGCAATTATCAATGCCTCTCGGCATATACTACTTATTAGCTACTCGCATGAGGAACGGGCACACCACTGATGATTGCCTTTCGTTTCGATCTTGTTAGAGGACGAAAGTGGTTAATGTAAGTGGCCTCCATCTGGTCACAGAGATCAGTCAATAATATATACAGCGATGCAGTGATACCTGCCTTCCCGATCGCCATTTCTGATAACATAATGTGGTCTAAGTGATTATGGTTTTCAAGTGAAACTGAGGAAATTTCGCCCCAAGCTGTGGGATCTTCAGATTGATAATTTGGTTGAAGGACTATCACAGTTAAAAGGTTTATAGGGAAGACACTTCTCATCCATCTTTGTGTGTGTTTTCAGAAATACTGCTAGGGAGCAATTTTCACCGGATTTTTAGTGATTTATTTCGGGGATAGTGAGATGAGATTTGATGCTGTACAGAACGATAACACCCACCATGACGCGTTTATGCTGCCCCGTGTAAATTTCGGATATGAAAATAGGTATAATTTTGATTCACACATAATAGCTTTCTTAATATCATAATTCTAGAAGTTGTTCTCATAGGAGGTATCTCCCCCCAAATGACGTCTTGAATACCTAGGATGAGCTTAGTCCAATGGTACTGAGGGAGTTTTGATAGGAAACTTTCTTAACGATGCCAAACTGTACTTACAGATTCTGACAGCTGAACAATGCTTGAAAATATACATTAAGTGAGGTAATCTCATACTTTGTTAATTCCATATTTTGAGCAATTTTAGGCCTGAAAGTCTTGTGGTGGTTAACACAGAGCTGCAGGGTAGGTTCAGGCAACGTGAATCAGTGGTAAACGACGATAGACATCGGCAGTGAAGTCCCAACTAGAGAATGTAAACGGTGACAGCCTAATGGGCTTGGGCCTACAAGGTCAGTATACCTAATATGACATACTATAAACGCTAGAGCCACTCAGTATTTCGTTAGTGATTGAGGCGTACAGAAGATAGAGCCAAGCAGGCACTGTGCGTCATTTGTAGTTTATAAGTTCTCCTTACTTTATTGAACGGAATTGAATGATGAACGATGTCATTGTTTTTAAAATTGAATGAAAGTCCGATGACCTGGCATATTCAAGCTGATTTCTACTGCTTTGGAGGTTACGTTTCCTACTGTGGTCTAGTTGTTTGATGTTCAACAGAGGACTGAGGCAATACGATGAAAATGATTATTGTGAATCATCCTAATTTTTGTTTCTAGACTTTGAAGCTTTAGTGTTTGAACCTGTAACCGTTTGAATCCGTAACGTTTCGAAGTTGCAGCATTCGGTACTGTAACCGTTGTGCCACAACTGTCTCGTCGAGCTGGTTCACTTTCAATGGACCAATCAAGAATCCCCAAATTGTCACTCTGTCTTTCGATATTTCTAGGATGGTCGCAGTTCATAGTATTCGGAGTTGCATCTACCGGTCTTCTGGCAACACAACCAGCTCCGGCATCCGTGGATAAATTGGCACATTTGCAGATGCTCCTTGTATGTTTGACCGGGCTTCCTTGATATATTTGACCACCAGGGTGCTTACGAAGTACATGCTCACCATCGGTTGCTGTCTTCTTAAATGCGTGCTACTGGCTGATAGCTCTTGTAGTTATTTTGATAGAAGAGATGATCGCTAAAATGGGAAAGAAGTGCATAACACGTTTTAGACGATGCGTTTGCTTGTGGGTGGAACTGCCCACATAATAAAACATTTGGTGGCCCTGATTGATAACTACACATTGAAACATTACAGCCAATCGACATCACATTCCAAATACACGCTGCATGGGCTGTGAAAATGGAGCGGTCCATTAGGATATATGTAGGCAGAAAATTAAGTGTAGACAATATACAGTCTGTTAATGATGTCATAGCGCCTGTGAAATTGATTAAATTCAAAATCCCTCAAGGTGATTTTATTCTAATATCATTAAGAAGACGTTTGCGGAAGCATTCATTAGGTTGTTACAGACATGACAACTTGTCATCGTTAATCGCTATCAAAACAATGCTCATTAGAATCCATGATTTGAAAAATCTAAGTCTTGGAAATAAAGAAACACGCGCCATTCAGTCGCCACATAACACTGGAGAAATAGCCAAACTCTTCAAAAGTAGGTTAACAAACTCCAAATCAACATATCCAAAAATAATACACCTAGGCGGCATCACTCACGAAAGTGCTGAGGATATATGTGAGGTGTTTAGCACGCACTTTGCCAAACTGTACACTCTACAAAATGACCAGGATATTGATTTCCCTCGTGAAACAGAAAAGTGTTTAAGTGATGTAGTCTTCAACGCCCAAGAAATCGATAAAGCTATCCCAACTCTTAGGCTTACTAATACTCCCGGCCCAGATGGAATGTCTTCCGTCCTCTTAGAAAATGGTGGAAATGACATGAACCTACTTCTCCTCAAGATATTTTGAACTTCGCTAAGGGGTGGAACATATCCAAATATCTGGAAGAAATCTTACGTTGTACCCATTCACAAAACCGGACCTACAGCGGATATAGATAACTACCGCCCCATCAACATCACTTCCGTGGTTTCACGTGTGATTGAAAAGGTTGTAAAGAAGCAAATTCTTCAGTATTTGCTTTCGAATGACTTAATATCCCCTTTTCAATACGGTTTCTTGAATAGAAGGTCGTGCATCACTTGCCAGCTAGACCATTTCGACCTTATTACTGAATGTGTAGACGAAGGTCGTTTGGCAGCAACATTATTTCTAGATGTTAGGAAAGCTTTTGATAAGGTCCCACATAAGAGACTCATATTGAAACTCCTATCTCATGGAATAAGTGGAAGGCTACTCGAGTGTATAACTTCCTTTCTTACAGGAAGAGAACAAGTAGTTAAAATCACTTATCTACATCCAAACCAATAACCAGCGGTGTGATACAAGGTAGCGTTCTTGGTCCTACCCTATTCATTGTGTTTATAAATGATATTGTCTCTATGGTCAAGTATGGCAAGCCGTACCTCTTAGAAGATGACCTCAATGTTGTCTATGATTTCGACTATAATTATATGAATATTGCTAGTGAAATCCAACAAGACCTAAATAGTCTATATAACTGGAGTGAAAAGTGGCAGTTAACGTTCAATCCAGCTAAGTCTGGGATAACATACTTCGGACGTTGGAAACCTAACATGTGTCTATACATGTACGGTGACCTTGTCTCAAACACGAACACAGTCACAGATCTCGGGGTAACATACTCAGATCTTACCTTTACTGGACACGCAAATAAGGTGGCATCTGATTGTAAACGTCTAACCGACTTTGTGCTACGCAACTTTTACACTCCAGAAGCCAGATTGGCTATATATAAGATATGTAATCGCCCCAAACTTGAATACTATGTCCACTTATACAGTAGCTTTAAATCAGCAGACAAAGGAAAAGTTGAAAGTGTCCAAAGATTCCCGACGAAAAGCATATTAGGCCATGATCAGCAAATAGAATACCTTGACAGATGTATTCGACCGGACTTAGAACCCCTACGGTTAAGGAGAGTGAAGTACAACTTATTTCTGTTATTCAAAGTTATAAGAAAGCACTGTAACAGTAATTCATCCATAACGTGGGCTAATCTTAAATTGTATGGACTACGCAACCATGGTTACCTTCTCAAGGTTAACACCCATAAACTCACCACTAGAGCTAATTTTCTCATCATTAAATATTGCAAACTTTGGAACCAACTACCCTCTGAGATTAGATCCCGTGAAAAGCCTGACAGTTTCTAAAGGAACCTAGAAAAACATATTAACATGTCCACCCCAGCCCGTCTAAAACTGCTGGTAGAATGGTGAAACAATGACATTTCAATATTTAACTACGGAAAGCACACTGGTCCTAATACTAATATAATAATACCTAGTAATTATGCATCAATTCTTGAAATTTGATTGCCTTTACAATACCTAAAGTGACTAAAATATTTATGCAGCAAATGTTCTCTTCCTTTACCACGCTTGTTTCCCTTATAACACTCAATTACTGAGGTTAATGTATTCTTTGATAATACGAATTATAATATTGATTACACTCTTATCATATATAACTTGATTTACTTTACGGCTCCCCGTAAGACTAACTAAGCTTCTTCAGTATACACACACTGCAAAATTGTTAAGCAAATGTTAAAATTTTGTTGGTTCTGTGTTAATATCTTTTTATAATATGTGTAGACAGGTTACTTTGCAGTGTCAAATGTTTACTACATAGAAGACTGTCATAATAATTTAGTACAATAAGTCCTGCCAACCGACCTTACCTCCAGTTAATACTACCTACATTGAACTCTAACCATAGCGTTCTGCTGAATCTTGCTCCACAATTCACAAAACCTATTCTTTTTACTCTTTAAGGTTTTAACGTCTTTACAACCTTTTCAATCACACGTGAAACCACGGAAGTGATGTTGATGGGGCGGTAGTTATCTATATCCGCTGTAGGTCCGGTTTTGTGAATGGGTACAACGTAAGATTTCTTCCAGATATTTGGATATGTTCCACCCCTTAGCGAAGTTCAAAATATCTTGAGGAGAAGTAGGTTCATGTCATTTCCACCATTTTCTAAGAGGACGGAAGACATTCCATCTGGGCCGGGAGTATTAGTAAGCCTAAGAGTTGGGATAGCTTTATCGATTTCTTGGGCGTTGAAGACTACATCACTTAAACACTTTTCTGTTTCACGAGGGAAATCAATATCCTGGTCATTTTGTAGAGTGTACAGTTTGGCAAAGTGCGTGCTAAACACCTCACATATATCCTCAGCACTTTCGTGAGTGATGCCGCCTAGGTGTATTATTTTTGGATATGTTGATTTGGAGTTTGTTAACCTACTTTTGAAGAGTTTGGCTATTTCTCCAGTGTTATGTGGCGACTGAATGGCGCGTGTTTCTTTATTTCCAAGACTTAGATTTTTCAAATCATGGATTCTAATGAGCATTGTTTTGATAGCGATTAACGATGACAAGTTGTCATGTCTGTAACAACCTAATGAATGCTTCCGCAAACGTCTTCTTAATGATATTAGAATAAAATCACCTTGAGGGATTTTGAATTTAATCAATTTCACAGGCGCTATGACATCATTAACAGACTGTATATTGTCTACACTTAATTTTCTGCCTACATATATCCTAATGGACCGCTCCATTTTCACAGCCCATGCAGCGTGTATTTGGAATGTGATGTCGATTGGCTGTAATGTTTCAATGTGTAGTTATCAATCAGGGCCACCAAATGTTTTATTATGTGGGCAGTTCCACCCACAAGCAAACGCATCGTCTAAAACGTGTTATGCACTTCTTTCCCATTTTAGCGATCATCTCTTCTATCAAAATAACTACAAGAGCTATCAGCCAGTAGCACGCATTTAAGAAGACAGCAACCGATGGTGAGCATGTACTTCGTAAGCACCCTGGTGGTCAAATATATCAAGGAAGCCCGGTCAAACATACAAGGAGCATCTGCAAATGTGCCAATTTATCCACGGATGCCGGAGCTGGTTGTGTTGCCAGAAGACCGGTAGATGCAACTCCGAATACTATGAACTGCGACCATCCTAGAAATATCGAAAGACAGAGTGACAATTTGGGGATTCTTGATTGGTCCATTGAAAGTGAACCAGCTCGACGAGACAGTTGTGGCACAACGGTTACAGTACCGAATGCTGCAACTTCGAAACGTTACGGATTCAAACGGTTACAGGTTCAAACACTAAAGCTTCAAAGTCTAGAAACAAAAATTAGGATGATTCACAATAATCATTTTCATCGTATTGCCTCAGTCTTCTGTTGAACATCAAACAACTAGACCACAGTAGGAAACGTAACCTCCAAAGCAGTAGAAATCAGCTTGAATATGCCAGGTCATCGGACTTTCATTCAATTTTAAAAACAATGACATCGTTCATCATTCAATTCCGTTCAATAAAGTAAGGAGAACTTATAAACTACAAATGACGCACAGTGCCTGCTTGGCTCTATCTTCTGTACGCCTCAATCACTAACGAAATACTGAGTGGCTCTAGCGTTTATAGTATGTCATATTAGGTATACTGACCTTGTAGGCCCAAGCCCATTAGGCTGTCACCGTTTACATTCTCTAGTTGGGACTTCACTGCCGATGTCTATCGTCGTTTACCACTGATTCACGTTGCCTGAACCTACCCTGCAGCTCTGTGTTAACCACCACAAGACTTTCAGGCCTAAAATTGCTCAAAATATGGAATTAACAAAGTATGAGATTACCTCACTTAATGTATATTTTCAAGCATTGTTCAGCTGTCAGAATCTGTAAGTACAGTTTGGCATCGTTAAGAAAGTTTCCTATCAAAACTCCCTCAGTACCATTGGACTAAGCTCATCCTAGGTATTCAAGACGTCATTTGGGGGGAGATACCTCCTATGAGAACAACTTCTAGAATTATGATATTAAGAAAGCTATTATGTGTGAATCAAAATTATACCTATTTTCATATCCGAAATTTACACGGGGCAGCATAAACGCGTCATGGTGGGTGTTATCGTTCTGTACAGCATCAAATCTCATCTCACTATCCCCGAAATAAATCACTAAAAATCCGGTGAAAATTGCTCCCTAGCAGTATTTCTGAAAACACACACAAAGATGGATGAGAAGTGTCTTCCCTACGAACCTTTTAACTGTGATAGTCCTTCAAACAAATTATCAATCTGAAGATCCCACAACTTGGGGCGAAATGTCCTCAGTTTCACTTGAAAACCATAATCACTTAGACCACATTATGTTATCAGAAATGGCGATCGGGAAGGCAGGTATCACTGCATCGCTGTATATATTATTGACTGATCTCTGTGACCAGATGGAGGCCACTTAAATTAACCACTTTCGTCCTCCAACAAGATCGAAGCGAAAGGCGATCATCAGTGGTGTGCCCGTTCCTCATGCGAGTAGCTAATAAGTAGTGTATGCCGAGAGGCATTGATAGTTGCTTTCTCGGTCACGGTATATTACCCGAATGACTTCGGTTTCATGAGGAAATTATAGTGAAATCTCACCCTGACTTGTAGACGTAGCTCCGTATTTTACCGGTTTCACCCAAGTACACAGCAAGAATCCAAGTGGTCTGAACTTATCCGGCTCTCATTCATCTCAGTCGAAACCAGAAAGGCCACTGATGATCTCGGCCCCAGAGAGGCAGAACAGCTATTCGGCACTTATATCGCTCCGATCTAGGTAGCAAGAACAAATGGTTGACATGAGTGGTATCCATCTGTTCGAATGAATCAATCGGTGGTATACACGGTTGTTCTCTTCGTCAACTACAAATGAATATAAAACCAGGAGGCAAGCTTACTGTAGAGTATTGAACGCCCACAGTTTCCCATTTCTCCTGTAATCCGTCACTTACAAATCCTTCCTAATGATTCTGGAACTTCGGCAAATGTGATTACAAATACAAACTCTGCTTTAGCGATTTAATTTCGGGCACTTCGGAACAATTCATGGAGAGCTTCTGAGTCTTTCATCCAAAACCACGAAGGTTAAAACCGTTACTCTCATCGTTTCTATATTTATATGAAACCTTTCTCTAGGTCTTCTGAGAAAACATTCCTTTAGTGTCGGGTATCTCTCAGATTGTACAATCGAAGGTGATGCTATAGTTCAGAATTTATGTTACCATTTTCCTAATGTCGATGTTATGCATGACACTTAATGTCAGTCTTAATGTTTATGGGTTCTAGTGCTCCCATTACATGAAGTTTGATACTTTATTTGTTTGTTTACGCTAATTTGCAGACGTCAACCGTGAGGTAGCACGACCTTCTACACTGTTTGGATTCGCGTTGAGATGGTGGGACACCTGATTGTCCCGTTTTTGTTAGCATACTTCTCCCTTATTGAAGATGTCTTAACTGCAGAAAATAATCCAGCATTCATTGGCTATGTAACCGTTAAGGATAAAAGTCACTTCCGCACAGTTTTCGAGAAGCAAATCAACAGATCACCGACCAACCCTTCTGAATTATATTATGCCATTCTTGGCCTTCATTCTCTTGGTGAGAAGATACCAAATATAGATGCAATTTGTTCTGCACTAAACAAACCTATCACGAATCCAGACTTGGCTTTCTATGCAAGTGTGGGCCAAAAGATCTTGGGCTCCGCTAAATGCAAGGTAATAATCTCTCATACTTATGCGGTTTTGTGTTTATTCGGGGGGTCTTGACCATATCCCTTTATGTTATTGCCACAGTTTTCTCCTTAGACTATTTTTCACCCTCTAGACTGGATTTCTGTTGCTGTTCTCACAAGTTCGCAAGGTTATCATTGAGCAAATATCATGATCATATGGTTCCTCATTTACTAATGCTTAAATGAAGTAAATTAGAAGTGTTGCATTTGCAGCTACTGACCCTTAACTCCAGAGCTCTTCATCAACTGGATAATACTGCTAACTGCCGTTCTTACTGTCTTTCATGCTCTGCCACGTGTTCACTAAGTCGGTGGCGAATCTACCCTAAATCACTACGAGATTTGTATTGGTTGAATTTCAGACATTTCCTGCCTTCAAATAACCTCTTTGCATTATCAGTACTGAAGATGATACACTTCTAAAGTAATAGTGCCTATCCCCGGTTATATGCTAAAGCCGTGAAATTCCGCTGTAAATTTTGGCTTTACATAAAAGTTTCGTCCTGTTATCCTTTCATCTACTAAACAACTAAGGATACTATCGGTAATTTCTACGGTTTAGACAATCTAAATTGATATGACTACTGCTACAAAGTCCACTATAGCTTATATGGGATGGTAATCCACTCTCAGTATATTTGATTTATTGAGGGCCGTTCCTGCAGAAGTAGCGGGGAGAAAAGACATGACAAGATTCGGATGACAGTGAACCAACACTTTATTTTTAACCCACTGAGAAATTCCGGCACGTAGCATTATTCTTTGTGCAATTGTATATTCTTCCTTTTGAATCACTAACGAATATTCGATGTTGAGTTACTCAGTGATAACCTCTTAATTATATCACTTCTTTGAAAGCAGTTGTCCTGATCTCATATTCACAGCTAATTGTGTGACGGCATTTTTAAAATTGCAAGGAATGAATTTACTAAGTAACCAAACGGTCAATCTTAAGTTCTTCCATTTAGTGGGGTCAGTAGTGGTTTGTAGTGAAGTAACTGCGAGGTTTTGATTACTGTCAAAGTCAACTCTGTTTATGTAAACGACGGTCACAAAACAATACTGGTCTGTAAACCGTACCTGTTGAACTTTTTCGTGACTTACGTCAATATCTGATTCAGCTTTATTCTAAGTTAGTTTATCGACTGGGCACAGGTTTGTAATCCATTCCATCAGTTCTTTAGCATCGTGTGGAAGACTAGTTGGAATTTAATTCAACCTGATAGCCTGTCCCAAACTGTAGTTTACAATTGTACTCATAAACTGCTTACCTAAAACCCTTATTGTCAGAGAACGTCGAAAGTTAATTTCCAATCACCTGTCTTGAAATATACTATCCCTTGTCATTGTATGCATGATGCTGTAGCTTATAAGACTAGATGCTCAATTTTCAGCCAGTAAGTCGTAGATTCGAACCACATCACGCACTGAAGCTTAAGCAGGAATCCTCATACAGTAATTGTACCAATCATCATGTACTCAGTAATGAATTACATATGCTTTCGTCAAACAATTTCTACGTATATTTATTCTTCGTTCTACTGATGTGTTTTAACCAATTTACAGCATTCATATATACTTCTAAAGTTAATCTTTTCGCACACCTTCACTCTAGGTATCAATTCAAGAAGTCGAAAAACTATCCAAACAGTTGTTGGCTCAAGATATAACGATTGAAAACTTATATTTTGTAGTTTCATCCATGAAAAATCTAGGAATAAAAAGTTAGTAATATATTTCCTCACCTATGGTTTCTATTCTAGTTGATACTAATCAGGTTACTGCAACAGTCAACAAACTGAAAGCTAAGGACAACACTCCAACAACGTAAGTTTGCTTCAACAGTTTTGGCGGATTCTCAGATTGTCTGTATATATATATATATATATGTATATATACTAAATCGATAACTTTATGCCACATTTTTGCATTAAAATTGAAAGTAGTTTGTGTTGTTGAGTGGTAGACTGACATATCTCTCTGCAAAGTTCTACTTTGATCTGTTTATCTATTTACGATCAAGTTTACGAAGTTCGTGATCCACTAAAACCTTGAAATCGATTCTGAAGCGACTTATCGTGACATACTTTCGTAAAGTCTTGTGAATATTGAAGTAATTTTTCTACACTAAGTACAAATTTGTTTCGTAAGTGGCGACGTCAACTGGTGTATATTTTTAAAACTGTACACATAAAAGAATTCGACTGCTACGCAATATTACAGTTACTTCGACAGATCTGGAACGTAGACAAAATAACCAGCTTCCAACAATCGTCATATTTCTTGACCTGAAGGCGGTATTCGATCCCGTCGACCGAGAGGTACTATGGCGGTGTTTGGCTGTGAAGGGAATGCCCAGAAAATACGTTGCACTGACTAAGGCACTCTACTCGAACTCACACAGTCAGCCAAGCGAGGGTCTACGTAGAGTTGTCATCTGAAGTGGTGACAACCAGTGCTGTGTCAGGGATGCCCACTATCCCCATTTCTGTTAAGTTTCATCATAGATGTACTAATATACTTAATCCTAACTGACTTCAGTGACTCAGGGGTTAAATTGTTGCCAGCAGGGAATAATCTCGTTGACTTGGAATATGAAGATGATATAATCCTGCCTCCTAGGTGAAGACGCTGACAAAATAAAGCAGAGTCTTCTGCACACCTTGAGGAGCAGCAATCTTCGAATGTTTGGCATGCAGTTCGCTCCCGCCAAATGTGAGATGATGAGGCTACAGGACTCAACTGGAGTACATTGACTTCTAGCTTAAAGATAGGCAGGGAGTGAAGTGGTTGGTGGAGCGCGCTGACCACTTCACTTATTTGGGAAGTTGCATCAGCCAACGCCAATGGATTGATCACTGACGTGATCTCGGCACCGATATAGAAGGTTCGTTTGGCAAATACCAACTCACGCCATCTCTGGCGTAGGTGTGATATCCGGCTATTGACTGAAGGGCGTGTGTACTGCTCACCAGTCCGCTGCGTCCTCCTGTATGGATGGTTATGAGACATGGCTATTAAAAGTGAAAGATATGGAAACGCTAACTCTCTTCGATCGTAAGTGTCTGCGTTCTTCCTCCTGTGTTTTTGGTAGTATAATAGGGCGAGTAATTTTGAGGTTAGGCTTCGGTCGAGTGGGATCAACCTCAGGTTGAGATCAATCGACGAGGATGTGAAGCAGCTGCATCGATTGAGAAAGATGGTTAGGACATGTGTTACATATGCACCCCTAGCCATCACCTTCCTCAACTGACGGGCAATATTAGCTGACGTAAGGTAGATCAGCTTCAAAATGAGTTAGCACATGGTGGTTAAACCGGAACATGGGACCAGTCAATAAAATGTTTGAAAGTTAGTTTAAGCTGACCACATAGAGAGATGTAAACCTCCTGCCAGTCTGGTTGGAGTCCTCGGGATTGTAAGAACCAATGAAGGCTGCATACAATCGGTGATATGGCTCAAAATCTTTCTCAATGGCTGGCGCAGATGCATCCATTCCTTGTGATTTATAATATGCAACAAAATTCTATTGTTCTCCCATACTACTATTCTTTTTGTCTCTTATTTCTGTTTATCTCTCTTGAATTTCTCTGCACTCTGTTCTTTTGCTTTGTGTGGTACATGAAGGGAGAGTGGCAACTTGAACTGCTGTACATGTGTGTAAAGCTCTACGTTGAAACTAGTCAGTCACAGTCACTTAGCATTTTAAAAAATATCCTTGACAGTAATCACATATCCATGTGGCTTAAACTGTCCTAAACGGAATTGTAGATACAAAACCTTACACCAAAGTGCATCAGTTGAAGTTGCCACATTCCATTTAACATACAAAGGTAGTGAAAAAGAACTTGAATGAGCAGGCATATTCAGGAAAAAGAATAAATACTTGGAGAAACATGATCACTAATTAGGTCTTGCAGATTACTAAAAGTGGATACATCTGCATCACTGAGAATGACTTTGATCCACGTTACCAAGAATCATAAGACGCTAATTCTTAGGGACTTGATAATCCCAAACAGGCAGTATACACCTTGTTATATATATAGCTCAACCCAACAGTCATAGAAGTCATTTGTTAATTGGATGTTATAACCTAACCATCCCTAACTATTTCAAAATCCAATTCTATGTAAGATTACGTTATTCAATAAAGGAGGGCAAGGGCTCGTCAAGGATATCATATATCCTAGCCATGTGATTTGAAAAAAGACCAGTGTCATTTTACAGGTCGATTGGAAAATTTTTTGGCTCATAAAGTTATAGCGCTGAACTATCTATCTAATGATAACCATTCATCACTACTGTAGAGACTTCAGTCAGCAGGTTTGTGATAAGGGGGGGCGAGGAAAAATGGGTGAACTCCGAAATCTCCAAGCACACCTACAACTGAAAATGATCATTCTCGCCGAAACATGGCTAACCCCCACTATCGCCGATAATGAAATCAGTATAGGTGATGTGGTTTTGGTCAGGAGAGACAGGGGTAATAAGGAAGGAGGGGGAGTTGCCATATACTATGATAGGCAACTTAAATGTGTGCGCGCAACGGACCCACCACTTATTGAACTCCCAGACTCCATATGGTGTCATTTCACCGTAGGCCACACCAAGCATTTACTTAGTAGCATCTACCGATCTCCCACCTGCGGGGCAGAGCACAATCAGCTACCGCTCAGCACTATCACAGGGATACGAGACTTGGGCTATGACCAAATGACCATTGCTGGAGATTTCAATGCCCCATCACTGAACCTTAGCTCGGGGTATGCTAAGGGAAAATTCGGCCGAAATCTACTACAAGCTATTCGGAACATGGGACTGACTGAGAACGTTGGAGACGACACTAGGTGGGGCCCTAGTGGAAAGTCATCAAAACTAGACTACATTCTAACTAGTGACGAACTTCTTGTCGAAAAGGTCCAGATCATGACTCCTCTAGGAAGTAGTGACCATGCAGTCATTGGTTTCGACCTCGTTCTCTGTGAGCATTTGCAGTGGGACGCTACGCAACCATGTCTGTGTTACAGCAAGGCTGACTATGCTGAAATGCGGAGGCTCTTGTCCGACGCAGAATGGCCCTTAGCATGGGATGAGTTGTCTGTGGATGAACACTGGGAAGCGGTAAAAAAGATTATTCATACAGTAATCTCGAATACCGTCCCTTTAGTCACAACACAGCCCAAAAGAAAGTCATCATGGTTAAAGAGAGGCACGCAGCGTATTCTGCAAGCAAAGCGGAAGGCTTGGTTCACGTGGAGCGTATCTAAAAGCCAGGTCGACCATGATGCATACCTGGAACTCAGGAACCGGTGCAATGCAAGAGTCAGGAGGGACAGGAGGTCATTCCAGGCTAACCTTGCTAAAAAACTCCCGGCAAACCCGAAGAATTTGTACCGATTCATGTCGGAAAGGAAACCAACCAACCAGGGGGCGTGCGCCTTAGTAGGCCAAAACGGTCAATATCTCACTAGTCTGGAGATGGCTGAAACATTTAGTTTAGGCTTCGCCAAACAGCTAAACAGCAATGTGGGTATTACCGTTACGGACCAAAATGGTGGCATGACTATTTCACGGGAGGAAGTCCAAATAGCCACCCCCCAAATAAACCCTGCAATAGTACTGAGAAAGCTGCAGCGACTCATACCTGGAAAGTCCCCAGGTTGTGATGACATCAGGCCATCTGTTCTGAAACAGTGCGCCGAAGCTCTCTGTAGGCCTTTATGCGACCTGCTCCAACACTCCATGGAATCGGGGAAACTGCCAAAGGAATGGAAAAGAAGCATCCTTTCTCCGATCTTCAAGGGTGGGGATAGGCAAAATCCCACCAGTTATAGACCAGTAGCTCTACTCCCAGTGGTATCGAAAGTACTGGAAAGTATTATTGATGATCACATCAGGGAATATCTGGATAGGTCTAAAATACTCCATGAAGCCCAACACGGTTTCAGGAAAGGGCGATCCTGCGTCACCAACTTATTATCAGCTTGGGACGACTGGACATCATGCTGGGATATGAATGTTCCAGTCCATGTGATCTTTCTAGACTTTGAGAAGGCATTTGGCACTGTTCACCATGACCTCCTACACAAAATAAGCCAAGTAGGGTTAGGTAAACCACTTCTGTCATGGTTGAAGGACTACCTAACTGAAAGGCAATTTTGCACCAAGGTCAATTGAGTCCGATCATCATGGCACAGTTCGTCATCAGGAGTGTCGCAGGGTTCTATCCTGGGACCACTGATGTTCTTGATTTTTATCAATGATCTACCATGCCGTCTAAGCTGCCCGACTCTTCTACACGCTGATGACGTGAAGATATGGAGGGCGATAAAGTGTCCGGAGGACTCAGATAGACTGCAGGCAGATCTAAGGCTTCTGGAAGACTGGGCGGTAGCCAGTGGCATGACTTTCAACCTGAAAAGTGCAAAGTAGTGAAGTTACGCACCTGTAGACTGCAGAATGCAAGTTACACCCTGTGCAATGAAAGCTTGTCCTGCTCAACGTCGGAACGTGACTTAGGTCTAGTTCTAACGGAGAAAATGGACACAAGCGTAAATTACACGGGGGATGTAGCGAGGGCATATGCGGTCATACACTTTACACATAGACAATTAGGTGCACTCACTCCTGAGCTCTTTCTAAGGTTGTATAAAACATACGTCAGACCGCATCTTGAAGTGCATAATATCATTGCACCCCCACTGCTTAGAAGAGACGCCAACCTCTTGGAAAGAGTCCAACGACGGGCAACAAAAGGAGTGGTTGGTCTCCGAAATAAACCATATGATGAAAGGCTGAAGAAATTAGGTCTATTGACACTTAGTTACC